CAAGGAGAACATGGGAGCGTACTCGGAGGAGCAAGGCGAGCGCTTCCACCAGGATATACTGGACTTTGAACGCCGCTACCAAGGACAGGGGGCTGACTCGTGAAAGTGATGTACAGTATAATCTTAAATCTCGAACAACTACTCACTTCTAAATCTCTTTGTGTTACTTTAGTATAAATACATGTTCATTTTGATTCATATGTTTTTTTTTCTGACTTTATGTGAACGAAAAGACACAAAAACGCCAGTTTTCTCATTGAAAATAGATAAATTTCAAAATATCACTGTCCTGGTAACAAAAGCAAAGTTTGTGGGGAATAATAGCCAATTTCTATACTTTTTAGGCATAAGCAATTACGAAATAACACTTACCACCCAGAAACAACGGTTGGCTACGTACAGTGCATACAGCCTCGGCTGCCATCCCTTCTCGCCATCCACGGTGTTGTCGGGCGAACACCAGAGACGTCCTATTGCCCGTTCAGAAGGATCTCCGGCCAAAGGGTTCGTGACGGTTCTGTGCACGATGCCCGTGCGAGATGAAAGGGCCGTGCCTTGGCCTGTGCAAGGGTTGCGTGAACGATCTGCAGACAGACCGGCTTCACCCGCGACAGCTGCACGCGTGTGTGATGGGCATGCAGTGTAACGCGCATCAGCAGCAGCAGCAGCCAGCCCTCTGATGATGTGGTGACTGATGAGAGGCCCCCATATACTATGAACTTCAATGAAGCAGAGACACAAGGGAGAGAACCTTTTTGAGTCGCCTTTGCTCAGAGTGGCGCTTTTAGCTTGAATGTTCCATATGCTAGACGTCACTGTCTTAGGGGTGTGACGCATAGGACAAAACAACACACTCAATCGCATCAGGTCGCCGCAACTAAGCAGACTTTAGCCTGGACCGTGTCTGTATGGCTGTCTGTATGGGTGACTGTATGGCTGTCTGTATGGGTGACTGTTATACACAGATTGTTACAGGCAGCTGCGCGGCTGCGCTATGTTTTGGACTGCAGATGGCAGTGCGCAAAAGAAGTGCTGTACTGCGCTTCTATTCAGACTAAAGGCTTTTGGGTTCGATCGCATAAGTATAAATGTGTTCTTACGAGGATCTAACCCAAAAGCCTTTATTATGAATAATACTGGTCGCGAAAGCCTACGTGTTAAACTGCGCTTCTATTCTTCCACGTCTATTACCCCCTGCCCGGACTTGGCAGCAGAGACTTGGGCCGCAGAAGTGGTTCAGATGCCACCACTGATGTTAGCCGTGGCCTGGAATCAAACTTGGATTTCCAGGTTCATAGAGCAGTGCTAAATCCACTGTGGCATCACCCCACCCCCACGGACAACCATCGACACGCATCCATCAGAGACAACATGTAGATCCATTCATTGACATTGGCTGTGCTGCGGATCAACTCGATCCCGTCACAGAAATATGGAATGTCCATAACTGGCTCAGGATTGTAAACAGTTGCGCACTTCCCCATCCTGGATTCATTTATTTATTTTGAAATACATTAACCTTTCAAAAATATGTGTGTTTTTTAACTGGTGCGCAGTCTGTGAATCCGTGGTTTATTTCGTCTCTTACGCAGCCTTGCAGCGTCACGGCATGCAGGATATGAGTGGCATACCGTATACTCAGAATCTTGATTTGAGGTGGTCGCACCCGTCAACCTGGCTCATGGATTTTCTGTGCTTGACGACATCAGGTGGAGCAGATCCCGTTACACCACGAGTCGCCGGTAATGCGAGCAAACATGAACATGCGTGACCATTCCCACATTCCTGCCAGCGGCAGATAGGCGGCGTTATGAACGCCAGGACATGTTCATAATGAAAAGCGTGCCACGGCTTTCAATATCACACGTTGCAGATAGGAGGAAGGGCACGCAAGCAGTTTAGGGGACGGAGCGTGCTCGCCAACCACTATGGCTCATAAAACTAGCTTGAACCCTCACGAACTAGCCAAACTGACAATAGTACGTGCCCTCTGACCATACCCAATGAGTATCGTACTCGCCTTACACCAGCGCTGGCGCTAGGGGAGTGCTCATGGGGTGGGCGCTGCACCACCACCAAAGGTCCATGTAGCACCAGCCGAGTGTTATCATGGTGGCCTACACATCCCCATCCCAGAGGAACTGTAGCCGGGCCTGCTTCCCCCCAACCCGAACCAGCGAGCCGGTTACCAATACTTATCCCTCTTACCAACTAGCTACTGGTACTTCTAGCCTTACTTCTCAACCAACTAGCCGACCAGGCACTAGTACTGGCTCCCGTGCCGATCCTAATCACATCTGCAGCACCTCGCCAGAACATTTTTTTTCATCTTTTGTCTTTTCAATGTTGGCGATCACAGAGTTTTAAGAATGCAGAGTCGTCAACATGAAGATCGTCGTCGTCGGCATCGCAATCTCGGGAGACCATAGATTTATTGTGCTTTGGGGGTTAGGTCTTAGCGTAGCATCTGCTGTGCCTGTGAAGTCAAATCCGTGACAGGCAGACTCAGTCGCAGTTGTCGCAGATGTAGGCCGGCCTGGATGGTGTCGATGTTTTGGTCGTGTCCTGATGTCCCTTCCTCCTCAATCTCTTTGCTTCTCGTCGACGAGCCAGATTTGTTTAGTTTATCAGCAGCCTGCTGCCAGAGAAGAAGGTCCTGGGCAGCCTCTTCCCAGGTGTCGGTGTTGATGGGGAATCACTTGAGATCTGGCTTGCAGACATCTCTGTAGCGTAGCGGTGGGCAGCCAGCTGGTCTCTTCTGCGTAGAGAATGTCCTTCGGTATTCGTCCGTCATCCATCCGACGGGCGTGGTCCAGCCAGCATAGACGTCGCTGCCTCAGGAGAGAGTACATACTAGGTAGCTGTGCTCTCTTCATGACTGCTGAATGCATGATGCTATCCTTCCAGGTGATGCCTAGTATTCGCCTCAGGCAGCATAGGCGGAGGTTGTTTCGCCTTCGTTCGTGGTGTCAGTATGGTGTCCAGATTTCACTGCCATACAGGAGCGTGCTGGTGACGCATGCTTTGTACACCTGTGCCTTTGTGTGAACTTTGAGTTTTTGGTTGTTACATACCCTCGATGTCAGTTTTACGAAGGTGGAGGCTGCTTTTCCAATGTGGCTGCTGAGTTCGGCATCGAGTGACAGACTGTTAGTGATGGTGGACCCAAGTTAAGTGAAAATGCTGACGGGTGCCAGTGTGTAGTTGTTGACGGTGATAGAGGGGGTTTTTTTTAGTGCCCTACCCCTTTTTGGGGTTTTCTTCAGGCTGATGGTCAGGCTGAAATCCTGGCATGCTTGGGTGACCTGGTCCATGAGGGTTTGTAGCCGCTTCTGGGAGTGTGTCGCTACTGCAGCGGCATCTGCAAAGAGCATGTCCAGAACAAGGAGTGGTCGCACCTTTGCTTTTGCTGTTAACCGAACAAGGTTTCATAGTTCCCATCTGTGCTCGTGTGTAGGTAGACTCCCTCGATGGATGTCCCAAAGGCTTGCCGGAGGAGAAGGGAAAGGAATATCCCGAACCGGGTGATTGCCAGCCTACATCCTTGCTGACTCCGCCACAGATTTTGAAAGGGTCTGAAGTAGGCCCATCAAACTGGATGGTGCCCTGCATGTTGTTGTGGAAGGACTGAAGAATGCTCAGCTGTTCTGGGGTGCAACCTATCCGTTCGACCATCTTAAAAAGGCCACTCCTGCTAACAAGGTCGAAAGCTTTTTTGAAGTCAGTGAAGGCCATGTAGAGTGGTTTTCTCTGCTCTCTGCACTTCTCCTGGAGTTGTCTCAGAGAGAAAATCACGTCCGTGGTTGATCTTCCTGCTCTGAACCCTGCCTGTGGCTCTGGATAAAGCTTATCTGCGAGGACCTGGAGTCTATTCAGTGCAACGCTCGCAAAGAGCTTACCAGTGGTGCTGAGTAAGGAGATGCCACGGTTGTTGTTAGTCACTCCTGTCTCCCCTGTTTTGTACAGGGTGACAACACTGGCATCCCTCGTGTCCTCGTGGGACAGTACCATCCCTCCAGTACAGACACGGCGTGCACATTTGGCTGTATATTGCTCAGCCAAACAAGGGAAGAGTTCACATGTGTCTGAACTTAATGTGGCAGTGAGTGCTGACATGAACATCCATGGCTTCATTTCAAATGGGTCAGTCTGCGTCGGTCACTCGGATATGTCCGCATGCGGAACACCACATCCAGTATACCTCTTGACATTGTTGTGGCTACGAGTCAAAAATGAAGCCCTGCTCCTATTCAGCGCCCCCCCCCCCTATCCTGCCACTCTATTCCGCATGTAAGCGATTAAGACATCATCGGAGATTGCAAGATATATAAGTTACGGTACCTTCACATACGCGGGCTATTAATTATATATAAGTAATGGTTATGAAGATACCGAGCAAGTCAACGGCCGAATCTCACCACATGAGCGTTTTGCCACATTCATCGCTTGTGGTGGTGGTGAGGAACACAATGGCGGAAGCTTTCGCCAAAAATCGGACGAAAAGGGAAATCCGCCAACAGCGCACGGATCGGGCCCATATATGTGGGAGCATTGGCCAATGACGATGTAATGAATATACTGTAGTAAATTCAACGTGCGCCTGATATATAAATATGCAGTATGTGAATCTACATTGTTGTAGATTTGAACATCGCCAACATCGCACCGACCAGCATGCTGAAGGATGGTTAAACAACTCCTACGACCGACACAGCAGCGTGGAGGACGAGTGAGGGCCTTCTTCCAGGAGTGGATTGGCATAGCACTGCTATGTAAAAGGGATATTGTATTCATGCGCATAGGAGCCGCGCGCTTTGAATAATGCGAGGGGCAGGGGATCATGCGGATGGGGGTGGTGGGGAGGGAGAAGTTTGGGTTTGGTGGTGGGGGGGTGAAAGAAGTTGGGGTTGGGTGGTGGGGGGGGTGGGAGAAGTTGGGGTTGGGTGGTGGGGGGGGGTGCGAGATTCGTGACGCACGGAGCCACAGCAGGGCCCCCGCCTGTGCTGCGCGCGCGGGTCCACGTGTTGCGTCTGAGTGTGCGCGCCAGTGCGCATCAGTCCTCCGCGTGTTCCTGTGTACGCGCCCGTGGTGTATTGGCAGCAGCAGCAGGAGGAGCAGAGGCAGCAAGGGAGGAACCTGCGCTCGTGAGACCACGCGCGACGCTGGGATTTGACACGAGCTGTGGGGCAGAGCGAGCGGAGCGCGGCGACACGCAGTTTGGGTGACGCTGAGCTGCTGCGAGCCACGGGCGTGAGGGGAGGATCAGAGGTGTTGAGTGGGGGACGGGGACTGCAAGCGGGCTTCAGTTTGGTTGGATTTGGCCACGTTCTTTGCGGGAGAGCTGCCTCCTGGAGATGCGGCCGTGCGCACAAGTCGCAACATACTTCAGGATGCAGTGGAATTCGTAACATCTGGACTGCGTGCGGAGACAAACACCCCCATCCACGATACTCTCTCGGACTCGTACCCACACCTACGCTGCCGGCTCGAGCACAACACGCGAGGCGTCATTCACGACATACACTTACGTACATGTGGACATGCATTTACGCGTGCAATATTAATGATATACTATACATAAACGTAGTTATTTACACACGCATACTCGCTAACATATACTAAAACATATGCATAAACGTATACTACTACTACACGTATTTGCATGATCGTTTAATGAGCATACATGCACTGGTACACCCACCTACACACACTCGCTTAACCACATACACAGGCGAATAGACACGTGTACGTATACAACAAACTGGTATACACAAACTCATACACACGTACAAACTGATACACACAAATACACATACAAACTCATACATACATACAGACACACGCACGCGTGTACAGGCACACGGGCACACACGCGCGCGCGCACACGTGTACGCACACACACGCGTGTACGCACACACACGCGTGTACACACACACACGCGCGCACACACGTGTACACACACACACGTGTGCACACACACACACGCGTGCCATGGCCCGGCTGGGCCCCCTGTGCCGAGCTCCCCGGCTGCTGCTCCACTCGCTCGCGCTGCTGTGCTGCGCCCGCGCCTACAACGTGGACCTGGAGTCCCGGCTCGTGTTCACGGGACCCAATGGCAGCTACTTCGGCTACTCCGTGCTGGGGCACAGCTACAGGGACTCCAGCTGGTAGGGAGCCGCGCCGGGTACCCGTCTGCGTGTGTGTACCCATGTGTGTGTGGGGTGTGTGTGTGTACCCATGTGTGTGTGTGTGTGTACCCATGTGTGTGTGTGTGTGTACCCATGTGTGAGGCGTGTACCCATGTGGGGTGTGTGTGTGTGTACCCATGTGTGTGGGGTGTGTACCCATGTGTGTGGGGGGTGTGTGTGTGTTTGTACCCATGTGTGTGGGAGGTGTGTGTGTGTGTGTACCCATGTGTGTGGGGGGTGTGTGTGTACCCATGTGTGAGGCGTGTGTACCCATGTGTGTGGTGTGTGTACCCATGTGTGTGGTGTGTGTACCCATGTGTGTGGTGTGTGTACCCATGTGTGTGGTGTGTGTACCCATGTGTGGGGTGGGTGTGTGTGTGTACCCATGTGTGGGGTGTGTGTGTGGTGAGCGGTGGCGCAGTGGTTCAAGGCACTGCGCTACGAACATTTCTGAATTCGATTCCTGGCCCAGGCTAACATTAGTGGTGAGTGGTATCAGAACCGGGCCTACTCTAGATCGACTCGGCCTTGAATGACATACCTGAAAAGGTATGTCTAAACTTTGCTTGGGACTCCCTTAGATCTACTCGACATTAAATATATACCTTCTACAGTGTGTGTGCGCACATCGGAGAGACAAAGGCAGCCGGGCATGATCCTGGCCACCCCAGCCCTTCGTGTTGCGTTCCGGCTTCACGAGATGATCACTAAGCGGCAATTCAGGGGAGCCTGCAATGTAACACGCGCAATCCACACGGGCGTGATTGGGTGTGATGAACAGCGCTGTGTGGTCGACAGACCGCTTTGCACGTGCTTCAGCCGAGGTGTGTAATGGAACGATGACCGTACACAAGTGATGTGTGCATTGTGTGACGTCTGCATGCCAATTGCATTTGAACACGCCGCATTATATTGCACGCGTGGTGGTAATAATAATGCTGCTGCTGCTGCACGTGCGTAAGCCGATGCAACGCACGAGCCGACCAGCTGCGTAGCTGTTTGAGCAGACGGCGCAACAACCATGCCCGGACTCCGGGGGTACCACACGGGGGTACCACACGGGGGTACCACACGGGGACGTTGGGGTTGGGGAGGTAAAGGACAGGGGGCCCCCATTTGGATGATGTACCCATACCAACCACGCGACGTCTCATAACAACCACGCTACGTCGCTCATACCAACGTGGCTGACAAGCGCTGTAGAGTTACGATGATTTCAAGAGGGGGGAGATACCTTTGTAGAAAACACTCGAAATGAAATGCAGTGACTTTGCGTGAGGTGGTTGAACCCACAGTTGCCAGCAGTGGACTCGGTGACGAATGCGTTCGCTGGAGTTGGGGGGGGGGACGATCGTGTCTGTCATGTATGTTGAACTTCTTTAGCACCGTACATAACCAACCGTGCTATTCGGAGGTAATCGCGGATAATGTTCCTGTCGCCCACGCGGGATATTGCTGCTAATGCCGCCCGCTCTGCCGAGGGATAGTTGTTACCCCTCTTACTGACCGTTACACAAATGTCAGGGTTTCTTAGCACAGCACCAAAGCCCAAAAACGCCGAACGGCCAGCAACAATCAGCACTGTTGAGTGTATACTATACGGGTAGTCATCTACTTACGAACGTGTTCAGTTCTGAGACCCGCTCGTTAGTCGAGCGCTTCGTAAGTCGGGACATGAGCACAGGAATGCACTGTATTTAAATGCACATAGAGTCCGTGTGTGTTACGGTGCAAGAAGAAGGGAAGCTTGACTTAAAGCTTTTGTGACTGCAGGGATTCATATTCTTTGGGTCTTTTGGTAAAGTCACATAGATAGGTTCAAAGAAAATAACAAAAACTACGACGTTTCAATCTCAACACGGCCGTCATCAGGAAAAAGGGATTATTTTCTTTGAACCTATCGACGCGACTTTACCGAAAGACCCAAAGAATATAAAAAATGGATGCTTTGTTAAACTCATAAATAAGAAATATTGTACATTTTCATGTAATTCCGTAATAACTATTGTAAAGAAAAATCTACGCAACCACGGGGAGAACATGCAGACTCCAAATATGCAACAGGCTGTATACCAGGCGCGAGGTGGTTATCATCTCTTCACCGTGGAGAGATGATAACCCAGGTCGACAGATTTATAGCCCTCTGCTAACCATTGCGCCACCACGCCACCTAAGCAGCTGTGTACATTGCATTGTGATAGAACATGTGTGGCGGTAAAGCTGACGCTGTACTCCTCTTTCAGAATTGCCACGCTGAAAAGCACAATACCATTCAGTACAATCCTGATTCATATAGCGTCTGATGAAGAATGCTCTGCATATCATGACGCTGGCCAGAATAGATGCTGGATGATTTCCACGCGGAGTAGGAAGAGGTCCGTATATAAGAAAAGAGACAGTCATAGGCAGAGGAGAAGAGGACCATTGAAGAAGTGTAACCATTCTGTTTCTATTATAAATCTGTGTTATGTAAAATCTTTGTATTTTAACAAAGACCCCTCTCGCCAAGTAGCGCTCATTGCACTACAAAACCATGGCGATGTATTGAGACTCATTCATTCTGTCGTGGATGCGTGCCAGGCTGGCTGCTTGACACTTGAGATAAGTGCGTGTCATTGAGATCAGAACCATAGCTCCAAATTGCCACTGCTTCCCTCTGTTGGCTGATATGGTTCATGAACTTGGGCTGGGAGCGCAGGAGTTGGTGTACTCGTGGGTTTGACACGACTGCAATGAGCTGTATTCCTCAATGGCGTAGCTATCGAGTGTGCACGTGGTGCAACCGTGTCGGTGCCAGACGACGAAGAGGGGGAATTAAACAGAGGGCCCATTTCATTCCACGCACCAGGGCCCATGCCAACCACGCCGCTACTCCGCTGATATTCCGCTGTGTTGAGAAAAAGCACAACCTAACTGCTGCTGCAATTTATGGGGCAATGTGTGGTGAAAATAACATTTCACACTCCCGATGTCACCTTTTGAGAGGTTTGAGCGGCTGTAATTTGCCAGATTTGAAGCTTTCGTGACTGCAAGGATTCATACTCTTGGGTTTTTTCGGTAAAGTCACGTAGGTAAAAAATAAAATTAAAAGTTAATAAAAGTAATAATGGAAATAAAATAAAATAAGAAATCACATTTATTATTTTATTTTAACATCAAAGATTACTCTGCACATTTTTTTATTTTATTTCCATTATTACTTTTATTAACTTTTAATTAAATTTTTTACCTACATGACTTTACCGGAAAAAAACCTAAGAGTATGTAATTTGCCAGTTCAGATGTATTACCATGTCACCATTCTAGAAACTTTTGTCAATCAAGGCTGGCACGTCGGGTTTAAACAACGCAAGGTAAAACAATTTGCGCACACTGCTATACTCTTGATGCCAAGCCCTGCCGTTTGTGTGGCTCACATTGCGATGTGCAGAATAATCTTTGATGTTACACGCACGTTGTTTGGGGTGTTACATTGTGGCCTACACCTTCACCGCATTTTGGGGGAAATAAGTAAAAAAATAACCACTTACGTGGTCAGACAACGTGCTCAGACGTCCGGTCCGTGTTTTGAAGACAGCATGGATTTTTATTTCGCGCGATCGTGTCCAAGCCAGGCTTGGACGCTCGCGCGGTGCCTCCCCCGTGTGCACGTGGATCCCGCTTGAAGAGCCCTACGTCATCCCAAAGCCACGCACTCTTCATCTTCACATCTTCCCCAGAGGGCCCACATGTGCCAAGTCGTTGTTTTTGTTGTTGCAGTTTGAGGCTGTATTTTTAGGGCCGCAGCGTGCGCGCCGCGTGCGACGGAGGCTGTTCGCCCTGTGCTGGTTGCGTGTTTGCCGTGCTCGTGCTAAGCGCTTCCGATGGACTCAAAGCGCTGACGGTCGTGGCGCGTGCGTTAACGCGCACCGCACGCCCAGTGCCGACGCTGGCTTCCTCAGCAGTTGTGCGTGTTGACATTGTACAGTCTGGGTTAATACAAGGGTGTGGCTCTATTGGGCGCTAATAAATTACTTGTTTGGGATATGGCTTGTAAGGGAGGTGACCCGATGTTCGTGCCTTGTGAGGTCATTCGTCTCACTGGTTTCTCGCCTGACTATAAATACATCGGATGATTTACTCACTAAAATATTTGCATTTCCGGGCCATATTACGAAGTCGCGTATTTTTTCCGTAATTTTACTTTCCGTCGAGACTCGGTGGGCACACAATGCCCCACCACCATAGTCGTGGGCACCGCAGTTGGCGTGGGTGTGCTCAACCGGGGCGAGCGGACCGAGTTCCCGTGGGGCGGGCGGGCGGGCCGGCCCCGCAGCTCCCGCCCCAGTGCCGGGAGGGACGCGGCCCACCGCTCCACGCCGCTCTCAGGTCGCACAGCACGTGACCATTTCTTGTTTAAGCGGTAAAAGGAACGCGAAAAAAATCGCGACAAAAGAAATATAACACAAGAACAACCTTTCGGCAGGGAAATTAATGTTTTCTTTAGGTGGGATGTGTGGCGCGGTGTTGGTGGAACACGAAAAAGCGGCATTAAAAACTGTTTGGGGCCGAACATGTGCAACGCGTTAAGGGCCCTGTAAACAAGCGGCTTTCTGTGTGAACACGTGCGCAGCCACGTCCAGCACTCGCGCCCTCACCTCTCGCTCCCGCGCTGCACAACATTCCTCGCATTTTCACGACCGAGCGATCTCGGGGCCCTCATGCGCTTGAGACGCTGCTCTACAGCGCCGTTCGTACCAAGATTGATTGCGTGTTTGTATTTGCCCTGTCAGCGTTTACTAATAGACTTTAAAATTGTATAAATGAAGACGAAGGAGATGTTATTGCCTGTGCTTGTGTATTTATCCGTGGTTATTTATTCTGAAAGCTTTAGAGCCTTTATGTTTGGTAATAAATTACTTTAACAAAAAAATATTTCCTAACCTTTGCCGGGGTGCTTTAAATGATGCAAATCTTGAACTTTAATGTGGAGTTTTGACTGAACGCTACTTTCTCATTTGCCATTGGACCTGTGACGCCAGGTAATGGTTTTTCAAGCCACACAATCTGGCAGTGGCAGTGACGACATCGGCTGCGTGGGCCCACAATGACCATGAACCATAAAGCAGACAGAGTTATCAATTTCATTTTCACGATCATCTCTGCGTCTCCCGTGTCCCTTATTTCACTACGTGGCACGCACAGGATCCTGGTGGGAGCTCCGAAAGCCAACTCGGATCTCCTGACGGAGACTGTGCACCCGGGTGCCATCTTTAAGTGCCGGGTGCAGCCGAACGGCGAGCAGAGCTGCACTGAGATGCTGCTGGGTGAGAGGCCGTAACCACGGAGACGTCGTTGTGACGACACCTCTGCGTCTGCACTCTGCCTTCAACTCTCTCTTCCGTCAATCGGCACACGGCAGCTGACGAGGCTGAGTGAACTCATTCTGCTCCTCCTCTCTGGCCATGGCATCGCTTCCTGTTGAGCTATGTTTGTCTCTCTTAAGTTTTCCTCCATTACCCCATCAGTCTACCTCTCAGGTGGGTTGGCTTCTAATTATTGCTCCTTCCACATGGCGGTAGGAGGCCACTAATGGCCACTTCCGGTCATCATCGCAGCAGCGGCTTTTAGCTGGCCATCGGACAAAGATGGTCCACTGCATTGCGCGCTTTCAGATGTGCTTCTGCAGTCGTCTAGAATGCCCTTCTGATATTAGAAAGTCACTGGAGCGATCTACATTGAAAACTAATTTCTTTAGAACAGTTTATGCTTAGTTTGTTGTCCTTCCACGCACCTCGGATTAGCGCGGTTGACTACGTACGGTGCAAAAGAAGTTCAACATATAAATGTTCTCAATGATTTTCACCTTAGTGGCTCCATATAATTTGATTCATCACCAAATTCAGCAGTGTAAATGTTATTAATGTGGCTTTAAGCATGGCTATAGGTCGCCAATATACTGAGACAACTCTTCAGGAAGGAAGTGAACGTTTTCTTTAGCTGGGATGTGGTGGAGCATTTATGGGGGGGGGGGGAACACCATGAAATGGCATGGAAACGCTACGTATATTTATGGCTCTTTGATTCCATTGTTCCCATCGTGGTGCCATGATAAGCCACCTGATTTGAGACAATACCACATAAAAGAGATGGTAAAAATGAGGCCGTACACATAAAGATGGTACAAACCAGACAATAAATCATGTATTCTTGAATCAAACCATAACCCTGAATAATGACAATTTAATAAATTGGCAGTTGGAGGATCGTTATGCCGCTGGTTTTTAATCCTCTCGGTGGTCGGGTCTGTGGAGGCGCACGGATTGGGTGAGTTTCTTCACCGTTGTTACCTCTGGCTCACGGCCCCCAGGCTCGCGGCACAACCACCAATGTGGGCGCACGTGCCTGGAGGAGCGCGACAACCAGTGGCTCGGCGTCAGCATGGCCCGGCAGAACAAACCCGACGGCAAGATCCTGGTAAGCGCAGTCTTACTCGGCCTGGGCTCACCAACGTAGTACCCACCAACACCACCTCATCGCCCTCCTCACCAACCCCTCGCTGCCCGCTCCTCCCCCTCCTCCTCGCCCTCCTTGTTCTCACCCGTACGTTTCCGTGCGTTGCCGCTGTAGGCGTGCGCTCACCGCTGGAAGAACGCGTTCTACGTGAGGGAGTGGAAGCTGCCGCATGGCCTGTGCTACATCATCCCCGCCAGCCTCGCGCCCAGCGAGAGCACACACATCATCCCCTGCTTTAAAGGTGCGGCCGAGCCAACGGAGTACAGCGAGACCTTTGATGAGCTGGGCACGGTGGTGGCCATTTTTTTTTACCTCTGATCCACCGCTTTGGGAGTCGAGTAGAGAGTTGTGAAACGGCCAAAACTGCTGGGCTGTGAGGTGGCCAGGCGATGGTTAAGGTGAAGGTCATGGTTGTTTTATACCACACAAGCCTAGATTCGTTTGAGGCTTTTCCTACTGAAATAAAAGGCGTTCGAATTTTTTTTTTTCAACCCAGAGTGGAGGAGTGGCCCAGTGGTTAGTGCACTCTGTTATGAATCGAGCAATCTGAGCTCAATTCCCAGACATTGTTATCATCAGTGGTAAGAGATATCTGAACCAGTTTTGGTTGGGTCGCCTGATTCACCATCTCGCATTGACCAGGGTGGTGAAGTATGGCCGACATGGCATGGGGAGGCCTTCCTCCAGGACTGGAGCGGTGATAAGGCTGTAAAATAATAATATTATCTTTATTATTAACGCTTTTGTTGGCCAAAACGTGGAGACCCAAGCCAGAGGATAGAAGTATTATTGGCCCTGACAGCTAACCCGCCAGCTGCTATCCTGCTGATTGAATATTTACAAAGACAAACGCATGTTGGAAGGCGTTACATACTATTCTTCTTGTATGGTGCGGGCGAAGAGGGCTGCGGCATTGAAGGTACAGCCGGTGTTCACCGTGTTTCTTTGCCGGGGCTGATGTCAACCGTTGCATCTGTCGCGCAGAGCACCAGAAGAAGTATGGGGAGGAGCACGGCTCCTGCCAGGCAGGGATCGCGGGACTCTTCCTCGAGGTCAGTCTCCCGTGATCCACCGTACTTGCCCGAGACGGCGACATCGATGAACGTAAAACATTTTTTTATGTTCGTTCAAATTTTATTTTACCAGGTAAATTCCACTGAGCTATATAGCTCATTTTCAGCAGCAACCGGGCCACAAATAATAGCTCAACGAAGTGGTTTATCACGTTAAAATTTAGCGCAGCCAAATATGATGTTGATTCTAAATGCGGAGGGAAAAACCAGGGCACCCAGAGAACAATCCACGCGACCACGGGGAGAACATGCAAACTCCAAATATACAGCAGGCATCAGGGTCGGTATGGAACCCACAACCTCCTGCATACCAGGCGAGGTATTTAGCATCTCGCCACAGTTTAAGATGGCAGTGAGGCTGAATCTGTTCATCGTACTGATGACGAGCTTCATTTCATTTTTATTTGTACATTGCGCCTCTGACCAAATCGCCCAGAATGCGCTAGGTGAGCTTGATCCTGGACAGGGCCTGGCTGGATAACCACCGCTACCTGATGCGCCGCAGTGCAACAATATCCATCACCGCACACAACTCCGTGCTCACTTTCATAAACTCCCGCTGACCAGCGCGGTGAGCGTATCGTGTTCGCAATAACTCCTGTGTAAACATGGGGAGGCCCCCATCCAGCGGCGGATTGACAAGAGGGTCATACGCAGTGATGTTGGGAGGGTGTTGGATCAGTGGCATTTGTAATGGCGAGGGTGGGGGCGGTGCTTTGCGTGTCCTAGGATGCGGTCGTGCTGGGTGCTCCCGGCTCTTTCTACTGGACGGGCACGGTGATCCTGCACAACCTGACCACACGCGCCAACTCCTTCTACTCGGAGAGCGAGCGCCGTGCTGTCGGCTACAGCAGCTACCTCGGTGAGCCGTGGCACAGCTATGTCCAGCGTGCAGGCGGTGCAACTGCACCAATACCCATGGGCCGTGGGGGGCCCAAGCGCCGGGCTAAGAAGAGGGACGTAGGAGGAGGCGAGTGCTGGCGGTTGGCATCGAGGCCTTGGCGGTGCCAGCTTTAGGCCGAGGCAATGTGGGCGTTTGCCTACGGCGGTGGCAAGTTGTTGTGTTAGGCCTTGAGAGGGGCGACTTTGTGTGATTGGTGGATGTGGGTGCTCGAGATTTGCTCACGGACATCGACACACCGTCGACGGTGATAGAACGGGAAAGGAGTGGGGGGTCCCATTCAATTCCCCATACCGTGTCTCATGTCGACCAAGCACCGCTGCTGATGATCTGGCCCAGTGGGCCATGGGTGCCCACTCTCTTCCCTTCTCGCATCATCGATTCAAACAGCAGCAGCAACAACAGAATAGGAATTTTGTATTTTCTTACAAATTTTCTTTGACAAGAGTTTTTCCGCTGTGTAGTGACGCACTCAGAGACACTAGGAGTAGGAGGCACTCTATTTATTAACAGCCTTCACAGGGCACAAGGGATAACTACAACTGTCAGTAAGGACAGCTGGCAGACTGCCTGACTGACGACGCTGAGAAGGTGAAGACGCAGACGAAGACTCCAGCAGCACAACGGGATCCCACTCCAAGCAACAGCCCCGAACCTTTGCTCGGGGTCCCCTTTTATCCTCCTTGCGTGGCCTCGCTCCACCCCGGCCACGCCCCCCTTCTAGAACCTACTAGAAGGTTCCCGGGGTCACCTCACGTACCCCCTCTATCACCTTTCCCCTACATCCCTCTCTCTGACTTATCACGTGACCTGCTGACAGGCAGGGCTGCTGCAACTGCAGATCCCCTTCTCTGCCAGCAACCCGCGCTATGCTACGTAGTGACCCGTTTCATGTCACTACACTTGTATGGGGAATTAATTTGCGTGCCGATGCGTGGTACCGCGCAGCTGTTCCGCTTCATGGTCACGCGCGCGGGCGCCTCGCAATGTGCTGCCAGCATCCTGGGATTGAGAGCGGAAAATTAAGGCCCCCCCACGTTTGCAAAAAACTGCAAACGTGTTCACTTGTCAATTTGTCAGCTTGTTTAGCCATTAATTTGTTTACGCTTTGTGTTTGCAGAGGAAATGGAAATTTTCCAGTTCCTTAGGCAGACCGAGAGGTGCTGTGTCTTGTTATGGAGTGTGGTGGTCGGGGTGTTTTTAAGTTTAAGAGCCAAGAATGTTTTCTGCTCAAGGTGCACTTTCTCATTTGTTCATAGGACACAGCACCGTAGGTGGTCAGCTGGCTCAGAGATCAGAGCGCTGAGCTAACACAGCTGCGACTCCTGGTTTAAATCCGGTCATCCACCTGTGATAGCGAGTTGATGGTTTCACTTAGGTCACCAATGACTGCGCAATAAATGAATTCATATTAATTTGGGTTTTTACTTAACTTGACACAATTCCACCTCCGTAAATTAAAACTATGGGTTTGACTACCGTGTGACTCTTACTCTCTGTAGCAAAGTGAGCGGTAAAGTGCTGGCTCCAAGTCCAGTCAAGAGGTCACTTGCAGGGATCTACAAAGTCGTTCTGTAATGCCTCCTACCACAGACCATGCTCTCACACGTCGTGTTGCCCTGTCCTGCGAGGGTTCCTCATAGATTATTCATCTCGTGACAAGACACCGGCAGCACAATCAGGATAACACTGGGGGGAGGGGCATGGGTAAATAAAAAAAATGTTTGTTAAGACACATCACCGTGTTTCATTTGACACCTTGCGGAGCCGTGCTGTAGATGCCTCCGCAGGATATTGCGCGTCGGCACCGGGATGAAGCCCTCTTCCTCTGACGAGGGCCCCATCTGAGAACGTAGGAATGCCGCCGCCACCGCTGTCGCTTGACAGAAACGTCGGGACTTGGTAGAGCGCGCCTCGCTGCACACAACAGGTTGCAGACGTTGCCGTCTGTTTGCTGCTACTTTAGGCGCAGGTAGCTGGGTGCTGAGCTTGTTCCCAGGTGCAGGTGGCTGGGCGCTGGAGAGCCATGAACTCAAACGAACAAATGCTAATGAGCTTCGTCGTCGTGACCTGGCACGGCAGCACGTGCGCTCAGCCTGTGAAACGCGGCCCGGGAAGTGGACACCGATCCTCCCCCTTCCCACCTCCAGCAGCCACGACGAACTGGCACGGTTACTAGTCGCGATTCAATCCAAGAAATGGCTACTTTGCAACACGCGTAGGTTGACGCGGTTGTGACGCGCAGCTCTCTCACGTGTCACCCGAGGGCTGTACTGCACGTTGTTTGGCGCGATGTCTGACATTTTGCTCCACGTGCTGTTCCTGGAGAAGCTCCCAGCTCGTGGAGAAAAACGTCAGACATGGTGCCGAACAGCGCCGTACGACTCAAAAACACATCGCAGAGCTGTTGCTTAGATGTCTTGTCTTGTGTTAAGTGTCACGTTTGTACTGTTTCTTGGTGTTTCTGACTTATACAGTTTAACTTAAACTGTTCATACAGTTTCAGTTTGCTTCGTTAGCCTAAATATAGCAGCACATCCTCTTGTAGATAATTTGAATACAATCATACGTATATGATTCTCACACACATCATTCCGAGTGCGTATCTTGAATATAATGTACTCCGCAGGGAACAAATCAGGGTGTCATGTCTGGTGGGTGAGTTTCTAGGCAAATTAAGACCCTGCACACTCCTTGCACCTGCGAATTCGTAATCACGAAAAGCTCTGCCGTGGGTGACTGACTATGCAGAGTTTGGATATTCACTATAGATTTGGGACGATTGCATATCCTGAGCAGGTGAGTACTGCCATGGTTGTGTTCGATTCACCCAGAGTCACAGACAAATCGAAGGGTGTAGCCAGGGCTCGCGCTTCGAACAACTCTGGTGGAATCGTTGCAGGATACAGCATCACAGCGGGGCACTTCACACACCCGCAGAGCACGGAGGTCGTGGGCGGAGCGCCGCAAAGAGCCAACGTCGGAGAGGTGAGGGTTACGCGAGACGCCTCAATCATGCTTACACACACAACTCGGCCTCCTGTGGTGTGTGCACAACAGCGCTGGGGAGACGCAGGCAGCCTGGCATGGTGCTGTCCGTACCAGCCCATTGCGTGCCATTCCATTACTAACATGCTCCCACAAACAGCACTTGCCCCTGTACTTCATAAGGCCAAATGCGAGATCCTTGTCTTTTCGTGTGGGTAGTGATGAAGCGATATTGGAAGCACCAGGCACCACCTTTGTACAAAAGACACAACTGATAGTAATGCAGTCTAATTTTGAAACTCAAATGTTTACGTACCATTCTCGTACTGAAATAAGTGCACTCGAGTTCGTGGTTATTTTATATCGTAATGTCACACGTTCTTGTGTGTCTGTCTGCTCAAGGTTTACCTCTTCAGGATTCAGCGAGGAGGTCTCCACATCATACGACAGTTCTCAGGGAAGAAGGTGGGCTCACGGATAGTGTTTGTAAAACCTTAAAAAGTCTTCAACCTCTGTTCCTATTCGTGACCTGACGCTACTAGGTAAAGATACAGCCCTGCCGTGCCTTGCCCTGCCATTGCTGGTGGAAGAGGTCTTCTCTAGAGGAAGCTCTAGAGAGGGTATTTGGCCTACTCTTCCACACTGGCCATGCATCTTGGAAGAGATGGTAGTGCCCACACTTTACCCCACCACACAAGATCTAGTGATCGACTAACTGTGGTTGTACCCATTTACCCTGCTGGGCACACAGAGGTCGGGAGTGGGATTTCATCAACTGGCCCCATTGCTTCAACTGCCGCGCCAGGAGATAGAATCGAACCGGCGACATCTGGATTGCAAGTCCCGTGCACTGACCGTTACACCACAGCAGCTTCCCTGCTACCAGATGATCGTTTTGTCATCATCGCAAAGCAGCAACAATAGTATCCAACGCATGACTTTGTAAACATCGAACTTCGGGACAAGTCAGTGCACGTGTTTTAGTCTAAAAGTGGTGCCTTGCATACACAGCCGCTCCGTTGTGAGTGCTCCCGTGCCTGTGGGGAGGATGGATTTGCGAGTAAAAACAGAATTGCCTCTGTTGCGCATGGGACATAGGGGGGAATTGTTCTCTACATGCTAATGAAGATTAGCAAAAATTCACACTTTAATTCCCGTTTAAATAGTTCTATTATAATGTATTTTATGGAGCTGTGTTGGCAGGGATGTAGAAACACCTGGCTTAATGCACTTCACCACCCCAGTTATTAACAACAAACACTGCTTTGTAATGAAACGCACGGCGATGTACTCAGCTAACATTTCACTCAGAGGCCCTTCTCTAGATGAGAGCCCAGGATGTAAACTTGTTATGTGATTAAAACATTTTCCGTTGGGAAACATAACCTTCGGAGAAATGTCACTCCAATCGTAATAAAAGTTTTGAGAGATGTTCAAGAGTGCAGCCCAATCGAACCGTCGGTAATGAAACGTTTGGCAAGAATTATCATGGCAGTTAAGATCCATTTAGTGTTTTACAATCGAGATTACCCATTCAGCCCATTGTGCCACTCGGGTCAATCAGATGCGAGGAGATTGGAACGTGACCTCTGCGTGCTATACCTGGTATTCCACAGTCACATAGTAGTTACTTTTTAGGGCCGGTGGGTGATGTGGGCCCAGCGGTAGGGCATTCACCGCTCGTTATTGCAGAGGTTCCTGGTTCGAATCCGACAGGTCACCCTGGTTAATGCCGAGGGTGTATTAGCCATAAACGCTCACCGTCTACTTCACAGTGCATGATGTTAAAGATCTCGTGATATAAATATCGGAATAGTAGCCCATCGTGTGCCGAATCATGGTTCAAGTTTGCCAAATTGACATACCGCAAATTTCCAAATTGGGAAAAACACACAGCAAATGACGCCACCCCCTCCCAACTACAAAACCCCGGCAGGATCCTCCCAGAAGAGTCTCGAGACTCGGCGAGGCGCTCCGTGGTGACCGAGGGGGGCGATAACAAAACGTGCGATTTAGCCCCAGGCATTTGTGCGTCATCTCGTTTGCTCAGATGGGTTCGTACTTCGGCTCGGCGCTGTGCGCCGTCGACCTCAACAGCGACGGCCTCTCGGATCTGCTGGTGGGCGCGCCCACGCACAGCACCTCACGCGACGAGGGCCGCGTGCACGTCTATGTCAACCACGGCAATGTAAGGGCGCCGCGGCGGCAAGATGTTGACTACCTCGCCTGGTACGCGGGAGGTCGTGGGTTCGACGATTCCGATCCTGACGACGCCTGTATATTTTGAGTTTGCATGTTTCTCTCCCCGCGGTTGCGTGGATTTTTCTCCGGGTCCTCTAGTTATTCTTCCTCCACATTTAGAATCGATATCACGCGTTTGGAGTATTCGACTGCTATAAATATCCACGTGATAAGCCGCTTCGTTGAGCTATCATTTGTGATAGCCAGGTTGCTTATTGAAAAGAGCTAAAAGCTCAGTGGACCTTACCTGGTAAAATAAAAATAGGTAAAAAAAGTAGATAAGAGCAGCGGCACTTGCGCGAGGCCAGGGTAAACTTGGTGTGGGCGGCGGCAGCAGTAGCAGCATTCTCGTGACGTCCACGTCAGTGTGGAGAGCTGCTTGCGTCACGCCGGTGTGGTGTCGCTGCTGCGGTCCCTTTGCACGCAGTGGTCCGTCCAACTTGCTGAGGACTTTGGTAGAATAGGCGGATACCACGCACAGTTATCATATTTGTCAATGTCTATGGATAATGAGAGTGAGACTGCAGACAAATGCTGCACCGGATGTGCGCGGTTGAATTGTCAAAGTGAAAATTACACATTTGTGTAATTTGCTGTGGTCAAAACTTAGGTTGGATTTGGTGGTCGGGTAAATAGTTTAACTTTCCTACCTGTGTTAAGCCATCGTAACAATTATTATTAATCGTCTTGTTTTGTTTTGATCATGAATTGTTGTCCAAACTGAGTGATCCAGCTTAATTAAATTCTCGTCCAGTTGTAAATATAAGCCCATTAAATGCATATTGCCATAGGCTGGTACCATACATGTTTTTTTTTATTTAAATACTGCCACCGTTACACATTTGTGTAATGATGCCATGCTCCGGGATTTCCGTTTGAAACGAATAAAATAAAGAATCACTAATCTGACGGTGAAAATAAAGTTTTTTATGAGGAGCATGAGTCCGTCCGCTCGAGGTTGCGTGCCGACCTCCGAGCCGCACAGAGCGCAGACCACTTACAGACAGTCTCAGGTCACACTTACAGACAGCCTCAGGTCACACTTACAGACAGCCTCAGGTCACACTTACAGACAGCCTCAGGTCACACTTACAGACAGCCTCAGGTCACACTTACAGACAGCCTCAGGTCACACTTACAGACAGCCTCAGGTCACACTTACAGACAGCCTCAGGTCACACTTACAGACAGCCTCAGGTCACACTTACAGACAGCCTCAGGTCACACTTACAGACAGCCTCAGGTCACACTTACAGACAGCCTCAGGTCACACTTACAGACAGCCTCAGGTCACACTTACAGACAGCCTCAGGTCACACTTACAGACAGCCTCAGGTCACACTTACAGACAGCCTCAGGTCACACTTACAAATAGTGTCTCACTGTGCCGGCAGTGCCCGGGCACAAGTGATGGCCGACTTCCACCGCTGCCCACGCCGCCCACCCAGGCACCTCCCTCCCCTTGTCCCAAAACTTCTTGAGGGTGTAATCGTGGCAGGCCACTCGCTCGCTCACTCGTTAATCAAATTAGCTCCGCGAAGAGCGGGGCAGACCATCACAAATAACCGGCGCAGTGTCTGCCTGTCGCACTGCCCGGTGCGACCTTTGTGCCCCCCCCCCTTCTCCCGGCGTGGCTTAACACGTGCCCTTTGACCCCAGGGTGACCTGGTGGAGCAGGAGCCGCTGGTCGGATTGAACGCTTACAACGCGCACTTCGGAGCCGTCATCGCCGCGCTGGGCGACATCGACGACGACGGATTCCCAGGCACGTTCCACTCGCCTGAGCGACAGGACGTGCGCTCAGGGGAGGCAGGGGAGGCACAGCCTCGCCTGCCATACTCCAATGGAAATAGCTGGAAAGTAAAAATGAAAATTAAGATTTTTCCACTGATCTGTGCTATGTCCTTTCTGTATGATTCCAATCATTTTCAAAGTCAAAATCGCCAAATTTGCGGAGCTCCGATGCAAATAAAGGGAGAGACGAGAGGTGAGGCAGCGAAGAGCTCAGCCTCCCCGCTGATTGCGCAACCGCTCAGAAACTGGATGGAGCGCGGGCAATAAGCGCGCCTGTTACTATCTCTCTGTAATGGTTGGAATCATACAGAAATGGCATTTATAACACAGATCAGTGCAAAAATCTTTTGTTTTTTACTTTTCGTAGCAGCTACTTTCATCTGAGTATGACAGGTAGGGCTCTGCCTCCCCTGACCGCACGTCCCTGCTGGGTGGCGACTTTTCGAGTTTCCATCTGGGGTTACCGCTTGTCTTAGGATCGTCTCCTTGTTCAATGAGGGTTGAGTGAGATTGTTACTGTGCTGGGAAATCTGTAAGTCCTCCTAGGACACAAGAAGTCCCCTTTGTTTGTCAGTTGTGTGATAATGCACCACTCACGACGATGCACGTGGATGTTGTTCTTGCGTCTTGCACGATAGTGAGAATTATTCTTCCCGTAATGTGCCGATTATTTGTGCCTCAGCAGTGGCAACCCCCAGTGTCGTCGCCGTCTTGGTTTCACACGCCCTTTGCCGCAATAGGGCACGCCCTTTACTGCTGGAGTCTTGATTTTACAAACTGATAAAAGTAGTTATTTATACACAAGGTAATGAGTTTTGGAAAATGGGCTCCTTCTGTAAAACATAAATGTGTTCTTCCGTTTTCAGTCAAAAGAAATGCTCACGCATAGAAACACACTGGTCTTTGAACGTTACATTCGTTGTTAAAAAAGAGAGCGTATTTGTTTCGTAGAAAATTCGTGCTTCGCCGAATTGGGGGATAAACGCTTCAGAATCTCCCGTAATGCAATTACAAACTGAGGAATCTGAAATAAATAAAACTATAAAAGCATGTTTAACCACACAGCTCTTGATTTTATTGAGCGATTTATGAGCAGCTGTCTGAGCGGCCGTGACCGTCCCTCTGCTGCTGCTGCCGCTGCCGCTACCGCTGCCGCTGCTGCTGCTGCCTGCTACTGCTGCTGCTGCCTGCTACTGCTGCCGCTGCTGCTGCTGCCTGCTACTGCTGCTGCTGCCTGCTACTGCTGCCGCTGCTGCTGCCTGCTACTGCTGCCGCTACTGCTGCCTGCTGCTGCTGCCTGCTGCTGCCGCTGCTGCGCTTTCTTTCCGTCTCTCGGCAGACGTTGCGGTGGGGGCACCGCAGGAGGAGGAGTTCGGGGCGGTGTACATCTACCATGGCAGCCAGAACGGCATCACTCACAAACACTCGCAGGTGTGTGTACACCCACACCACTCACACTCACACACAGGTGTGTGTACTACCACACCACTCACACACACACACAGGTGTGTGTACACCCACACCACTCACACACTCACAGGTGTGTGTACTCCCACACCACTCACACACACACACAGGTGTGTGTACTCCCACACCACTCACTCACACCACTCACACACAGGTGTGTGTACACCCACACCACTCACACTCACACACAGGTGTGTGTACTCCCACACCACTCACACACCACTCACTCTCACAGGTGTGTGTACTCCCACACCACTCACACTGGTGGTTGTTTGAACATACTTCGCCACGATGGTCGGTGTGGATCGGTGAAGGGTGGGCTCCAAGGACCGGTTAGATATCCCTGATGCTAGGTGAGACTGGTGAACCGAACACAGGTCGCCGGATTCGTAGTGCAGCTTGCAAACCACGGCGCCATCGCTGTGCCCTGCAGTCGTATGCCTCTGTTCGGCTTATTGTGAACAGGGGGTAGACGGTGCTGCTCTTTGTCGACCGCGTGAAAACCTCAGTACGAGCGAGGGGCGCATGTCAAGGAGTCAAAGCGGCGAGCGAAATGCGTAGTGCAGACCACGTGAAAGATGATGATGCCAGCGGCTGCCATATTCCCCTCTGTGGGGCCCTTTCCACTCGCACATTGCGCATGATGAAGGGCGTGCAAAGCGTCACCGCGAGCTCTGGTCTGGGCAGAGATCGTGGCCTCTGTTAAAATCTTCAGTTTTGTTTGCCGACTGCGCAACTGTATTTCAAGTCGGCCCGGTGTGGGATGCGTGAATTCGACCGTTCCCCGGAAGTCTGTTTTCCCTTTCATAGGCGATGACTAAAGCATCGAAGCAGGCAATCCCCCAAGATGTGTGAGCTCCTGTGCCAAAGTAAACTGTCTTTTCACCAGGTTTTGCAGTGAGCGTCTGCTGCTACTGTCTGCTCGTTACCTAGGATGAACCTGGAGCAATTGGTGCCAAGTCCGCTATTAGCGTTCATTTTCACTCCGCTCTAACCCGCACCCACGTCACCCTGACTGCGCCCAAACTCATCGGATCGCAAGAGCTCAGCAGGCTGGAGCATGGTTGATAGCGGGGGAGGGAGTCGGTCTGCGAATGGCGAGTTTTATAGCCTGGGGCTGTGAGCTCGCCACGAGGTGGCGGTACAGAAGTTAATTCAAAATGTATTGTTACGGAGCTTTGAGTGTCTGACTATAGGTATCGATTTTCTTGGGGTGCTCAAAGATTTATTAAAAATAAAGCCAGACGCTCATTCATGGGATTTTCCAAACATACCAATGGCAGGGCCCTTCTGAAAAAGTCTTGAGACCGTGAGGTTATTTTCGGTAAATAATACAAATAACAATAATAGTTTAACAATAATGATTATCACCGTTGCGCCTGCAAGACGTTGGTAAACAAAAACTATCCACGTCGTTGCCCACAAGTTCTGTGGTCATTGTTGCCCGATGGCCCAGCCTCCCATTCGCCGCAGTCTCTCCACATGTGACACCTGATTGATTCCAGACGGTGGCCTCGCGTCAAGCAGGGGGTCGTTTCTCATCCCCACTCGCCTATGTTTTCTCGCATCTCGAGACAAAAGCATATTAGCTGAATACATACAACAGGCATTGCTTGGGAAGCTGTTCCTGTGCTGAATCCATCCAACTTTCAATCACAGAATTGTCTCCTGCCCTCTCGGACCACATGCAGTGCGCCGCTAAGTTAGTTTGCAGTGACAGGTTCGCCTCGCTCCACACACAACAAACATTCCCCGTATTGCCTTGAACAGACTGCAAGGGTGAGTGCTGTTAGCGAGCAGCAACTATGAAGGCCAACACGGTACACCAAGGAGGTGGGCGGCCAGCACCATGCCAGAACGTCTTTGTCTGCCCTGTGGTGATGTTTTTACGCATCGGATTTGATAATAATTTGAGGCTGAGTCGACCTAGGGGAGGCCCAGGACCAGTTAAGATAATTGTCACACGTGTTGGCCGTCAGCGGGAATCGAACTCAGGTTGACAAGTTCGTAGGGCAGTACACGACTGCTCGTAGCACTCACTCACACTCGTAAGAAGAAAGGGATCCCCCTGGTGTAGATTCATAGGTTTCCTGAAACAAGTGCTGTTAGCAAGCGCCCATTCAGCCTGGCACTTCACACAAGGGTGGTGGTGCAGTCAGGGCCATGCCTACCTGACATTGTCTCCCCTGCTACTGCACCAGTCACTTACTCATTTAGGGTGGATTTGACCATAGTGAGGACCAGGACAGATTAAGACATCACCGATATAATTGATGGCCAGCAATTGAATGCACATTTTCCAGGATGGTCGTGCAGTGCTTAGAATCGCCGTGCAAATGCACGTCGCGCATATATATCAGGCGCCTTCAAAGGTGCTCGCTAACAGCACTCACCCAAACAGTCTGTTAAATGCAATATAGGGAAACCTGTCACTGCAGAATAACTTAGCGGCTCGCTGCATGTGGTGCCAACCGTACGTCGCACGGTTTAACACGTAGCACAGTTGACTACGTACGGTACGAAAGGAGTTCTACATACATACATAAGATCTACGCACATTTGCGTAAACACGTGTCAGCATTGACACATGCGTGTGAACTGTCGCTCGTAGTGGTCATAGTAGGGGAGAGAAGCGGGTTGTGGGGGTCGCCGAGCCGAACTCCCCACGACGGCCGCTCGCTTGCGCTCACTGCCTGGCACGGAACCCCCCTTGGGGAAGCGACACACTTCCTCTCGTGGCACACAATGGCGTTGCGTGTGCGCTGATGATGTCACCTTCCGCTGCCGCTTGAAAAAGACGACAGTGTCGTCAAGCAGCACAGTGTTTGTGGAACCAGGGGCTCCAGCTCTGGACATCTGTGAAAGAGAACTTCATAGCTCATCGAATTCCTCCAGGAGAAATAAAGATTCTTATTTTGAGGGATTTCCACGGTGCCTGGCAGAGAGCGGAAAACGCCAGCACAGTGTGGTGACAACATTATATTTGGTCACGATGGCATCTTGATGATTTGTAATTAACCTGTTGTTTGACATACACATCTGTGGAAAGAGCAACTATATCCACGTCAATTTCTCAACTACCTCGTGTATTAAAATAAGTTGTATTTTGTTTTACCTAAACAATATCTTCTCATCCCTCTTCATTTTATCAGCGTCTCTCGAGTGACCAAGTCTGAATGCATCTATTTATATTTTTGTATTTCTAAATTCTACTGAAATTCTACTCAATTTAGACGTACAAAAATAATACCCTTAATAAGTCCGGTCTCAAGTTAATTAATTATTAAATCGTGAATATTTGGGTAGTTGGATGAGGTTTGTTGTAGAGGAAACGCACAGGCCAGGCGATGTCAAAGCTGCCTGTGGAACGTCATGATTCATATGGTTTAAAGGCCCTTTTTAAAATTCGTAAATTTCTCATTTTACGATTATATAAGTCTGCTCAGCAAATTCCACTTCAGCACACAGTGTCCTGTTAAACACACTGTGACGCCAACGTGCATTACTGAAAAAAAAATTGTTCGAGAAAAATATCCACAGATGCTCCACGAGTCTCCCGCACTGGCAGTGTCCACTGCTTGGAATGTAAAAGATGCCCACGCTCATTTCAGCACCGTCATTTTCTTGATGGCTCAATTGGTTTGCGTTTTCTTTTTTTACACGGCAGCATTCCGCTTGCCTCCTCCGCATGACGTCCACTTGAGAATGGATGGAGGCCACGGGGGATCCAACACAGTCCCCCACCCCCGCCCCGCTGAGTAGAACGGCCTGAGGTCCGGGGTAAAACGTTCTGGATCGCGTGTCCGGCATCACGGAATGTGCCACGGTTTTTGGAGGGAGGCGGAATCCACGATTGGAATTCTCACAGCCGGCGGATATTTGCCGTCTGTCCGCACGTGGGTCCCAGATGCTCCTGTGCCACGAGACCGAAACACCACGAGCCAGCATCGGGAGAACGGGGGCCGGGGGGACGGAAGATTATCCCACTCTGGCATAACAAAACAACAGCCCGTATTACTCCTTAAAGAATATAACGGCTGCAAATAAAAGTTCGGTGGATTTAAATGAGTGTGTCAGAGTGAGATCAGTCGAATGTCATGCTCAGTTATGGCAGCTGATGAAGAGAATATGTTACATGTATACATTGCTCAATGGTGTCAGGGTGATGGGTCGACCACAGTCCGCTAGTTTGTCACTGCCGGTGGGTTTGTGTGAGGCAGCGTGCTGGAGGCCGGCAAGGGTCCTGCTGCGTCATGGCCTCCATTACTCATCATCGGTCGTGACGTTGATGCTTCGAGTTGAAGTCTGTTTTGTGTGAAGAAGAGAGCCTTGCTGGTGCAGCCTCAGCTGTCTTCGTGCACATGGCCGTGCAGTGGTGTCCTCCTTCATCTGCCCCGTGGCTTTATGCTCTTGTCCATGGTGAGCTGGAGCTTTAATCGGTCAGAATCTGATCAACAGATCGGCACGTATAAATAATATTGTGAACGTGACAATATTGTCGGGTTAACGTCAATAATGTTGGCATAATACCACCACGTGGCCTAACTGAAACACAGAGACGGATTAGGGACATCTCGGCCAATGTGTCTCTTGTGCAAACTCGACACTTGAAGGGGTGCTCGCTCTCTCGGGTGGACGGGGAGTGGGAGTGAGCTGCGCGCTCCCCAGCGCTGCCGCTGTGTGAATGCGACATGGCACCGATCATCACGATCGATGCCCGCTCGCGGTGGCGCCGGTGATACATATGCGGGACTTGGACGTGACGGGGGCCGCACGTGTCAATCGAGGTGTTGGCTTTCGGTAGGCAGTGTAGCTGATGTCGTTCTCGCTGTTACAGTTGCTATTTGGTTACAGACACGGGGGAACTCAGTCCCACGGTGAATCCACGCTTTTTTGGCAACGGAGTCAGCCGGCCCTATCGCATTACAATTCAAATAGAGACCTCGTCCACAGCCAGATGACGAAGCTAATTGCTTTCCCCGCCTTTATTGTATTAGTTAATGGACACATAGACGTAATAATTGAAATTTCATCATTTGAATTGGCAATCATGTTCCAAATCTATGAGAGAAATCGACCATTATAGCTGTAATGTTCTCGTGAAACTAGATAATGGTCTTAGTTGCCATATCATCTGCACAGCGATTTTACGTAATATTTAATACATTTTTACATGCTTTAAAATATTGTTGCTGCTGTTTACATTGTTGTTGTTAATTTGCACAAGTTGAGAGGGACACGGGAACAAAGAATGTCACTGCCATGTACCTCATGTATGAATGGGTGTGTGGCCAACAAAGCTGACTTGACTTCACTTGGAAGCCGTTGCCACAGATTAGCTGCCACCAGCTTTAAGGGGAACTTTGTTTGCATTGCAGCTGTCTTTTTTCAGTGACGATTTTAACCTCCGTATTTGTTCTCAGATGAGTTTTGTTTTAAACCAAAATGCATTTCCCCATATTCCGCAAACAAGTTGTGAAAAAACAAAGACGTAAAGAATTTAGTTCAGAAGGTGGAAAATTTGAGAAAAGAATGATGATATGGATGTTGCCAATGTAAATAATGAAATAACTATCATTGTGAAAAGAGCAGTGAAAGTGGGGGACAAGGTAGAACAACGATCGCATCAGAGACGTGGAACAGTAAAAATGAAGCAACAGATGGAACAGGAAGCGTAGAAGCGTGGAGAGGTTCATGTTTGGAGTTGTGGAAAGAGGAGCACGTGGATCAGGGACAATGCAAATTAGAAACATAATTTACACGAGACGAGTAAGTTGGTTTGTTAGGAGTGATGATGACAGATGGGCGAGACTGGTGATGGGACTACAGCCAAATGTGTGAATGCACTCTAGAGAATGACCGTCATGGAGATGGAGGGGTACGCTCACATGCACGAATCAGATGGATTGTGACTGTGCACGACTGTGAGGGATTCCTTTTGGCACGGGGAGGCTGTCATCCAGCAGTGGATCGATCACGGCTCACAACGATGATAAAAAAGTGGTTCCTGAAATGCGCTCCTTGAATGTAACAAACTGCGATGTTGTTTTTTTTTCACATCATTATGTTATCTGTGTCTGTTTTCTCTTCGAGGCTCGCACTGCGTTTGTTTTATGAGGAAGCACTTTAGAGTAAACACTGGGGCCAGATGTGCCTGTGCTAAGCGTAGTTTCGTGTGTGCGCATGTGTGTCGAACTCCGTGGGGAGTGGTAGTGTAGCAGTCAACGTGCTACGCTAAGAAACCCGGCGACCCGAGTTCGATTCCTGCTCAGGGCCAACACTAGTGGCGATTACAGAACCAGTCGACGGCTACCCCGAGGTCAACTCAGACTAAAATGAGTACCTGCTGCTGCAGTGTGTAAACATCGCCACGAGGGAGACAATGGCGGCCAAGCGTGGTTCTGGCCACCCGCCTCCTCGTTTGCCAAGCCGGCCTTCATAAGTGCGAGCTAACACCACTTGCCCCAACAATCTGTTCAGGCTATATGGGGCATATGTGTCTTTGTGTAATTTTGGGTCTGCATATGTGAGTGTGTCATTCTGTGTGTGCGCATAACTGTGTGTGTGTGTCTGTCTGTTTCTCTATAGAGGCTGTTTGGGAAGAGTATCGAGTCTGGAATCAGCATGTTTGGCCAGTCCATCTCGGGTCAGGTGGACTTGGATGGAAATGGTTACCCAGGTAAGCAGCTCTTTCTCTGTCTCTCTCTCATCCTCGAACCCACAGATGCGGAGTCGCGTGCAGACCAAGAAACTGAGCGAGCCTCGCGTACTTGAGACAGACATTCCTAAGACTCAGCCTTGGGCCACATTAAATAACTACAGAAAATACAAATAAATAGAACGAGAGAGAGTGTATGCGCACGCGGCGCGGTGGAACAATAAAACACGATATGACATCACAGCGGCAGGGTTTAGCTGGGCAACGTTGAGGGGCATGCGGTGGTGCAAAAAACGCGACGAACCAGCCCCTGGGCTGAGCAGGTGGCTTACACAAAATCCAGACTCCCTCCGCTCCACCTGGAACAATAGTCGGTGATCTTTACGCGCTAGTTAGCCCTGCGCACGGTCCTGTGAATCTCCGGCGTGTTTGTTTCAGAACCGCTGATTCGGCCCTCTGCCCTCTTGACATGTTCCGCAAAGTCTCCTGGGGGAATCTTTTCAAGGCCACGCAACGGTCAATATTGGGGATCGAGTCGTGGGAGCTGTCGGGAGTAAATCGTGGGAGCCTGTGGCCCGAGCAGGGGTCGCTTGACCTGAGCATTAGTAGACGGCACTCCAAGGCGGGCGAGCAAAGGCGTCGGGACGGTGACGTGTGTATTGACAGCGCCAGTAAGTCGGTTGTACCCCAAAACAAAACCAATGGCTTAGGGCAGTTGTGTCTCGGCCTCATTACGCCGCCGTGGCTTTAATGCTGCCGCATAGCTTGGGGGCGGGGGGCTGTAGGTGTCTCCCACCCCTCGCCTCACATTTCATCATCTGTTTCACTTTCCTCTATCTTGTGCCAATATGCTCAAGTAGTGCACATCTGTCTGGCACCCATCTCTCGTGACGTCGCCGTCAAGCCGTTCTCTCGCAAGTCTTCTTCTCTTTCGGGTTCCTTCCATTTTTCCGAACAACACACTTTCAAATTTCCTGTATTCCATCCGACATGTGTGTCCAAGTAGTGCCAGTTTCCTCCTCAAGTGTGCCTGTATCATCGGGTCTTCTTCGATTTGCAAACATTTTCTTTCTTTTAGATTGCTCATTCTTATAGTTAAGTCGAAAACGTTGTACAACCTTTCGCAGCAGTGGAAGTTTTTTTTCAGCAAGAAGCAGGGGACTGGACGAACTCCAGTTGCACAAAAGCTACGTGATCGGCGTCACAGCCCGTCCCTGAAAGACACAGGGGGCGACAGGCAGAGCACATCATTACTCATTCTGTTAGCGTTTAACTTTCGTCTGAGTTGGTTTAACGTTGACTTTTGTCATGCGCCCCTGAGCTCTTCTATCCAGCCCCTTTAAACGAGGTTAGGATCACCAGTCTCGTCCGTAAGCAGGACGTTATTCACTGTGGTCATGGCTGCAGGATTCACACAGACAATGTCACCCCGCGTGCCACTGTAAATTATGATAAACATTAGCCATTGGTTAATTGCCTCATAAACATATTAAGTTGAGCAATTTTGTAAAATATTAACAGTTCACGGAATTACCTATTCATGTTTCTTGTTCACATGCAGTAATGCAAAACTGTCCACGGTAATTCACACTCAAGCGCTTAACGATGGCAGCGAGACTGCTTAAACAGCCTTAATGATGCATAATGATTCCCACGCATGACACTGTATTCAGCTGCATTCGTGAACCTATTAACTTGACTTCTATCGGCTGGCATAAATAACCGGACTACTCACAAGATGAGATTGGGCTGAAAAAAATACACTCCAGTTTGAATTTGCGTGATAAACAAATCACGTTAAATGTTTTCTCATCGGACCCAGCTCCTCTTGGAGGGGGGCGGGGGTGAGCAGTCGATCTGGTGTGTGGGGGGCCACCACAATAACAGCGATGACAGCGCATAACAGTGAACTTGGGTGGTGCTACGGGGACATTTGGCGGTGCGGGGACCATGACAGCAGCAAAGCGCCGGCCCTGTTTCTCAAAAATTCGACTGCATAAGTCAAAGTTTGATTTGTGTGACCAGGTGAGAACCCAAGATACCAGTGGAGTCTTGTTTGGGAGTACATGTAAACCCTTTTGTAAATCCACTGCTGGATGAGGGCTCCTCGTGCTCTGGCATTGCTGGACCATACTTCACCACGCTGGTCAGTGTGGATTGGTGAAGGTGGCGAGATTATACATTGGAGCATGGAAGTACAGTACAATGGTTTTTCTACACTGCCCTCTGCTACACCACGTGTAGCTCCTCAGCCTATAACACCCTTTATGCATGGCGGTCATACATTCAAGCACTGTTCAGACTGCTTGCCTTCTGAAAACAAGAAATCAGGCATATTCCAGGGATTTTTTTATCAATAAAAAAATTGATATTCCACAATAGTCATGAACGGCAAAATGAAAACAGGTCCCACTTGAGAGTATGTTGAACTCCTCTCCCACCGCACATAGTCAACCATGCTAATCGGAGGTGTGGGAATTAATCGAAGTGACTCACAGTTGAATTTGAGCAGCAGTAGTATCCTGCGGCGGTGGGATGTTTATCATTCCTGACCGGCCGCTGGGCTCTTAATGCAGTGCCCAAACCGAGAGCTCCGCGTGCATCCCTGCAGTGCGGTGTCCATATGTGCCCAAACCCCAGAGGGCAGGGGCCACAGTTCAGGGGTCGGAAAGAACATTGAGTGAGGCGTTAGCGCCGAGCGTCTGGCGATGCCTGGGTTTTATTAGACGAGCTAGCGCCGTTATACTTTTATTGCTGCGCACGTCGTATCGAGGATGAACGCAGCCTCGTAAACTGGCTCTGTGCATCACTTGGCCCACTTAGACGCTTGCGGATCACAACGATGCGGCACCAAAGCAAAAAGACGGTCAAGAGGGTTAACCGGCAGGAGAATACCTTTTAGGAAAATGTGCCGCCAAACTTCAACACTTAGGGCCAGATTCCTATCTTGACAAAGTCACGTACATGTACGGCCCGCTCGTCAATCCACTGCTGGACGAGGGCCTCGCCACGCCTGTGGGTAGTAAGAGATGTTTGACCATACAGTACTTTTTCACTCTTGTCAGTGCAGGTTGGTGAAGTTAGAGGGAGTACAAAAAAAGATGGATTTTTGCTGCGCCACCCTCTGTTGGCGTAATGCCAATGACACTTGATTGCATGCGCATGGTGTTCACCCATCCTTGCACAGTCCAGGCTAAAGACCCACTTGGCTTCCGGGATTTGATGATACTGGTCACATTTCGGGTGATTTGGTTATAGCCTGACAATTGCATTGGCAACACGGTAATGTTTTTTACCCAGGAAAGCCTCGTTTTCAGGAGGATCCTGCGATTGGTCAATTCCATTAGCATGTGGGAAGAAAGCGGAGACCCTGCAGAAAACGCATGCACACGAGGAGGTAACAATGATAGCTCCCCACAGGTCGATTTACGAATCCATTGAGACACCGTTATCCCCGGGCACCTCGCAGCCAGCCCCGAGCCTGCAGCGTCAGTGTGACACTGGCGGTCGTCAATACCAGAATTGCCAGGCTCCAATCTGCTTAGTGTCTGAGACATGGCAAAATCTGGCCCATTTGTGGCGATTTGGTTGTAGGAATTTGTCCCGTTGTAGATGACGGAATAATTGGTACAGTGTGTAAGAAAAATGGGAGGATTCCTGATCAAGCGACAGTTGAACTCTTTACCGCGTGTGCACTGACGCAGACACAAGCACACAGCGGGTCGGCCACCAGTATCAGTGAGAAGGGAGAGCTTGTTTTTTGGGCGGCTGAAAATCTTAAAATGAGATATTTCTGCAGGTGCTTTTGTAGAGGGAAATTATTTACTGTGGCTGTTTTTTTATTCACATACCGTCCATTGTTACCATCACAAAAACATCTCTAGTTGTCTTGTATAACGATGCTGAGTTTCCCGTGATGCGTTTAGTGTCAGTGATGTATGAACACAGACGAGCACTGCTCTATTATTGTGTTGTGTACTCGTTTCACGAATTGGAGAAGTCACAAACGCACTGACGAACTTGACGGGCTACGTGGTGGATATACATTTCAATCAATCCATCTTTATTTTGCGTGACAATATGGTCTTCAATAAATTAGGCATCATCCCATTGCTCAGCAGCTGCTGCTAAAGATGCTGTCGCCTCTGGTTTCTTGCAGACGTCGTTATTGGGGCCTTCACGTCGGACGCGGCGGTGCTCTTCAGGTGAGATGGCGCCGCGACCCAACGCTGGCTGCTCGACATTGCCACGTGACGACAAGCCACCTCATTGAGCTGTCATCTGTAGCCAGGATTCTTCTTAAAAAGAGCTACGTAGCTCAGTGGGCCTTGCCTGGTACAATAAAGAATACTTTAGTTTTATGTGTATTTATTTTGTGATTTGCTTACCTTTCCTATAATTTGCACTGTTATCGTGTTTTTGTATTGTTTGTTGTTGTAACGTTCTGAGCCGCTCCTACTGGACATCTGTGAAAGAGCTTTATAGCTAATCTGATTCCTCCGACATAAATCGGTATTCCGATTCTGAAATGTGAAGCGCGTGGCGTCGTCTCGGAGAGCACTGAGTGGCGAGCGATCGAGCGCCGACGCACGTGGTGTCCCGCAGGACGCGGCCGGTGATCACGGTGGAGGCGTCGGTGGTGCTGCCGCGTTCCGTGAACATCACGGCGCCGCTCTGTGTGGACGGCGGACAGCCGACGCTCTGCCTCAACGTGAGCGTGTGCCTGCGCTTCCGCGGGCGCGCCGTCCCGGGCAAGATCGGTGAGGGCCCAGTGCTTGCGCATGTCTGTGTGGGTGTGTGTTCATGCGTGTCTGTGTGGGCGTGTGTTCATGCGTTTCTGGGGAGTGGTAGTATAGCAGTTCCGCTCACGACCAACACCAGTGATGATTGTCTGAACCGGTCCTGGGCCTCCCCTAGGTCGACTTAGCCTCAAATTAGTACCTGGTACGGTGTGTAAACATCAGCTCACGGGAGACAAAGTTGTATTGGCATGATGTTTGTCACACCAACCCCGAATGCGCCGTGCCGGCTTTCGTAGGTACTTGCTCACGGCACTGTCCCAACAGTCTGTGTGTCGGCACAGGGGTGCGTGCGTGCCTGTGCACATTTACATCTTCCTTTCTGACTTCAGAGCTCTTCTACAACCTGACGGCGGACGTGGCCAAGAAGGCCGGAGGTTCACGGATCATCTTGGGTCCGTACGCCGACGGCATCACGCAGGTGTCGGGCAAGGCCGACCTTGCATACGACAAGCAGTTCTGCCGCACGCAGCTCGCCTACATCAAGGTGAGGCCTGGGGCAGCACTGGACCTGCCACCACTGGGAGCCTGGGTTCGAATCCAGGTCTCAAACGATGAGTGCCAGTGACCGGGGGGGGGGGGGCAGTGGTGGAGGTGAAGCATCGTTTGACTTCCACCCTCGAGTTCCTCTTTCGCCACAGGTAGCCACCTCTGAAGTACAACAGAACAGGGACATTTCATGGGAATAAACATATCTCGCAATTCTGTAATATAGAACTACACGTGTAAATATCCTGTCTTGAGTCGTGCAGTAGTATGTACCTCACACAACTGGGGCTTTTAATTTCCTAGTTTATATTACCGAGCGCGTCGCCAGCTACCTCAGACGCCAGCATCTGGAGACTTAGATTCTCTCAGTCACGTCCTCTCACAGCCTCGCTGTGAAACCTCTCGGGGTGAATTCGTGGCGGGGTTGATTTAAAGGCAGGGGAGGTGTTTTTTTTTCCCTTCTGTGTGAAAAATTGGGATAAACATTCCATCCGTCGGGTTATTTATTTGGTCCGTGAAGCAAGGCGGCCATGTCGGTAGCCCGGACGGGCCTGCGAGCGTCTCCACTTGCTCACCATGGCCGCGACCATCAACGACAACCTTGACTCCGCTTTCCCTAAACAAGCTGACAATTAGGTGAACTGGTACATTGAAACTGAAGCAATGCTTGTAAAATGTTGATATGGCTTCTTTGGCATACTGCGTGGTACTGTCCGCAGACTGTACTATCCAGGAAAGCCTCACAGGAAAGTCTCAAGACACCACCTGAAGCATACACACACAGAATACAATGTCACTACTACTACGATATTTAACCCAAGTAGAACGTCGCTCAGTCTCAAGACTCTTGTTCAGGAGGCCCCTACTAAGTTTTCACAGTAGAGGGAAATGTTACTGTCTGTGTAATCCCAAATGAGTAATTTGTTCACAGTATTTCAGTATTGGGATATTTGGCAATACTACTTACATTGTATTTGTTTATCTCTATGTTGAAAATCCATGAAAAACAGGGAGATAAACATACACACTTCACGCAGAAAGATGTCCAAGTCGGAAATTGAACCGGATCCTTCTTGCTATGAAGCAGAAGTGCTATAACTGGACTACCCTGCCGCCCGGTGTTAAAAAACACACTGTGAGCGGCAATAAACACAAAAGTACACTAAGGTGCTCTTACCTTCTGTTTAAATTATAATAGTGGTGTAAATTCTACTTTACTATGGCAGGGGTGAGTCAATCTATTGAACAATGATGGTTGACCTTTCACAAAACCACATTTTATCCACCCACATTCAATCACTCGTCAGTAATTCGGAAATGGTTATTAATATTTTCACTTTATATTTCTCCCAACTTTATTTTTTGGAAGAAAAAAAATCTTACACTGTCGCAGCAACGGTTTAAAAAGAAACAACAACCTATTTTGTAAACGTTTACAACAACTTTATTGGGTCGTAGCCTTGGATGGATTTTTTTTTCGTGTCGGCAGTTTTGTCCTGCGAGGACTCGGTCTGCGGCGCACGCCGGCGTCTGTCCGTTCGTCGCTTGCGCAGCGACCACCCCCAGCGACCGTGGCCTCGCACGGGGGCTCCAGCGGGGGCTCCAGCGTCACTCAGACAGCCCGGGGCTATGTTCTCTCTCTCTCTGCTGAACTCGTGCAAGTGCGGGGATGTAAAACACGTGCTGCCTGATTATTGTTTTAGTAAATTTTCATCTTGTTATTTTGGTGGCCGCCACGGGGCCGCCCGGCCGCCCTACCACTCGAGGGCTTTGTTTGTGAGCCGCGCAAAGTCACCGCGATGATTATTCTGCTTTGGTTGATGGTAAAGAAGATATAAACTAAACTATTTTTTTTTATTTTACCAGGTAAGGCCCACTGAGCTATATAGCTATTTTTCAGAAGCTACCTGGCCACAAATTATAGCTCAACGAAGTGGCTTATCATGTGGAAATTTCTAGCATCCAAATACTCTAAACGCACATTTCTCAATGTGGCGGGAAAAACCGGAGGACCCGGAGAAAAATCCACACGACCACGAGGAGAGAGACACGCAAACTCCAAATATACAGTCGTCAGGATCGGGATCGAATCCACTACCTCCTGAATACCATACGAGGTAGTTAACATCTCGCCACAGGGAAATAGTTTGAAGTCGCTTGAAAAGTTTTTATATTTGGTATTCATCAAGGGCGACGAATCCTAAAAAGTAGTGGACTCCAAAACATATTTATAGCAGTTATTAAATATTTAACAATAAATATCCCAGGAGGGCGCTCTCATTTCCCATTGATTAATTCTATTGAGCTCCCCACGTCCATGCCTCCGAATCACTTTTCCGATGTCTACGCAATGTTTAACAACAAGACATTTGATGTATTCAAACTTTTTTTAAGTTGTGTCCATGGCTGATCTAATGTTTGAAAACTGCAGTGTGTGGGGTACAGATCCTCCTGGCTGATTAAATGCCCCATTACCACTTTGTTACGGAAATGCGATTTAGAGTAATTACTTAATGACCTAAACATAAACGTTTGACTCGCTCGGAGCGTTCATCCACATGAACTCTTGATTGCACGTTAGTTCTGTGCAATAAGTGCTCTTTGGATATTGTAATATCATTTAACACAATTCTACATACTCGTGTAATTTACTTCTGCAGGAAAACCTCTCTCTGAGCCTCAAGACTATTTTTCAGGAGAATCCTACACCAGGATGTTTGGCCAATTCCATTTTAAGCCGTTTTGTGACACGTGGTCAGAAACAGGAGTTATCTGAAACTGTGGGTGAATGTATTTCATAGAGAGAAGAGTCAGTCGTAGGCAGAGGAGAAGAGGAAGGCCGAGACCCTGGAATTGAACATAGGAGAGGGAGTGGGCAGCACGGGCGGCTGGGGAAAGGGAGTTCCAGACAATGAAAGCAGCACAGGAGAATGGGTGACCTGCCAATGAACGAAGGTTCACTGGGGGCTTCAGCAAAAAGTCTTGGTTGCTGGAGCAGAGAGTGCATGGAAGGAAATAGAGTGAGATGAGAGGGAGAGGTAGGAGGGCGTGTGGAGGTGAGTAGGGTGAGATCAGTGGGGAGATGCGGGCGGAGGTGAGTCCATTCTGGATGTTGACGATGGTGAAGTGCGACCTTGATTCTGGCAGCGTGGGGGTAGCGAGCGAACGCCTCGTCTGTCGGCAGAACCACATGCACGGGTGCGCAGTGCGACTCCGCAAACAGCTGACGCTCGCTCGCCAGATTACAAACAGCTTCTCCTCGTCCAGTGCAAGTGTCGACCGCGTTTCTTTTTTAACCGTCGTCTGCCTTGACGGACAAATGCAGAGACTCGATATGATGCGTCGGGCGCAGCGCGTTTTTCCCCGATGGCACGGCGGTAGCGAGATGTTATCTGCCTTGCCTGGTATAGAGAAGGTCGTGGGTTCGTTCCCGATCCCGACGCCTGCTGTATATTTCGAGTTTCATGCTCTCCCTTTGTTCGTGTGGATTTTTCTCTGGATCCTCCGGTGTTTCCCTCCACATTTAGAAACCTGCGTTAATAGCATTCAGCTGCTATAAATTTACACACGATAAGCAACTTCGTTAAACTATAATTTGTGGCCAGGTTGCTTCTGAAAAAGAGCTATATAGCTCAGTGGGTCTTACCTCATAAACTGTAATAGTTTAGTTTCGCGTCACGAGCACGCGGTATTGATCGCGGCGCTGCGTGCGGGGGCGCTGCCCGGGCCACGTCCCGGTGTCCGAGTGAGTCGGCCAGAGAACTATAACTCAACTTGGGTTTTTTATCATTATTATTACTGAACGGAGTTATGGAAAACAAAGTTAATTGTTTTTTGTCTCGGTCGAAATTCACAATTGTTTATGCTCCAGTGAAAGCTTTATGGGCCTGTAGGTTTTTTCTTCACATTTTTGTCAATTCTGTGCATTTTTATCATGCGCCTATTACTGTTACCCTTTTTTTCTCCAAACAAAGAGTTTTAAATACAGTATTTATATTTTTCAGCACTGCATGACACATGTATGATGGTAATTATGCTAGCAGTGATTATTATGTCAATGGTAATAGCACTGATATTGATGGTGATTATTCTGATGATTATTCTGATGAAGATAAGCATAATGAAAGTAGAGATTATGATAACAATAGTTATCATAACGACGATGATTATGATATCACGATGCTGCTGCTGCTGCTTCTGCTGAATCCGCTTGCACCATGGTAATGTGGCTCGCGGCACGGTGGGTTTTCATTCCGCCAGCGGGACATGAGGGACGTGATCTCGCCGCTGGCGTTCGAGGTGTCCTACTGGCTGGGCAAGCACCACGTTGACGACGCGGGCAGCACCAACGGGCGGCCCAGATTCCCCTCGCTGGAGCCCATCCTGCGCTGGAACGACGGGCGCGGCAGCGTCGTGCGCAACAAGGTGCCGCGGGCAGAAGGGACCAAACGGCGACCCAAAACATTTTTATTCGCCGCGCCGAGCGATCAATTTCGCGACAACTGCAATACACGGAGGCTGTGGTGCTTGAGGCTCAACACGAGGCTTCAGGCCTGTGCAGCAGATTTGTGACGAAGCTGGTGGAGCGAACGCTGTGGGCTCACACACGAAATTTATTTTGCTAGGACGAGGGTACTCTACAAGCCCACTGGCTATCAGCAAAGATTCGTTCATGAAGCCATCTAGATATATGAACACTGACACAATTTCAACCGAGAAGATGGGTACAAACTGAGCAATCATGGGAAAGACGTTATTAACCAGTGTTGGTCATAACTGACTGTGTTGTTCCCTTCCTACCTACCTACGTTAGCAGATGTTTTCGACTCTCTGAGTTACATTCACTAACACAGCCACCGCTAGCTGTGTTAGTGAATGGCGGCTTGCCATCCTTTTCCACCTCCAGGTGGTGATGGCTCTTTCCGAGCTCTCCGAGTTTACATTTACAAGCACGTTTCTTACATTGACATCCTAATCTCTCACAATACAATGGCCACCCCCACAGCTTCGTTTGTGCAAATTCCATCTCTAGCCCCGCCCACTGACCCTTGGGCTGCACCCATCTCAAACCTTTATAACTTAGCAGCGCTCCCACCATATATTCTCAGCAGCTCTCCCGCTATATTTTTCACCTGATGACGATTGCTTGTGTTGCAATCGAAACGTCGTGATATTTTTATTATTTTATTATTTGTTCTATCTACGTGGCTTTACCGAAAGAATCAAAGAATATGAATTCCTGCAGTCACGAAAGCTTTATATCAAAATTTACCTCAACACATTCCTAAATAATAACACCACGGTCTGAAATATTTATATAAAAACTGTGACGTTTCAGGTAATGACTGAAGAAGGGCCATTGCCCGAAACGTCACTTATCATCTATTTATTTTTTAAGTCACAGTGCTATTGACGAATCAAACGTGCGTGCGATTTTCCATTTCTCAAACATTTCCCGTGTGCACACTCGCAGACCGTGTTCGAGAGGAATTGCTTCAACGAGGATTGCGCCACTGACATGAAGTTGGAGGCCAAGATGTTCGGCAAAAGGTGAGAGCTGTTGCGACCGTTAACTTCTCTTTAGCAGCGAATAATGAACCACTCTCCCCCTCTGTGAACAGTGTTCAGTTTACTTATTCCCTGCTGCCTTGGGAAAACGTTATATCTGATGGGAGTGGTTCTCCCGTGAACTTTATACGTGGAGGAAGTGAAAGATGGGTGTGGTTAAAGCAACATGTTAAAAATAAAAACTTGCCCGAGACAGCGACATCGATGAACGTTAAAACATTTTTTTAATGTTCATTCAAATTTTATTTTACCAGGTAAGGCTCACTGAGCTGTATAGCTCTATTTCAGAAGCGACCTGGCCACAAATGATAGCTCAACGAAGTGGCTTATCATGTGGAAATGTATTGCAGCCAAATACTCTAAACACATTTTTTTAAACGTGGAGGGAAAAACCAGAGGACCTGGAGAAACATCTAAGCGCCCACGAGGAAAACATGCGAACTCCAAACATATAGGCGTCAGGTTCGGGATCGAACCCACGACCTCCTGTATACCAGGCGAGGTAGTCAACATCTCGCAACTATGGCGCCTAACTGGTCCAGATCCCCTTTCGCATCACGAGTCAAAGCTCGTGGCTCCCGGCGCTGCTGCTCCTGAGCGGCAGTGAGTGCGCCATCCGCATGAAGTGCCTACAGGTAAAAAAAGTAATTTAACCAACCTATGTAAATGAGTTGTAATTTCCACCATGCCTACGGGAAAATCAGATGAACTCTCTTGAACCCTTCTCGTGCTACGCTTCAACAAAACGTGTTTTGCATTGAGCGCATTTATTTCTCTCGACTTAGCGTGGTAAATTAATAAATGAATGCGCGGCACGAAGCCAATGGCGCGTTCCATCATAAATCTTTACCATTCGTTTGTTTGGTTTAAGAAAAAGCGGTGTTCTCGGTTGTACGAGGCCGGTGACTTTACCGCAGGTTTTCACCGAGTTCTGTGCCAGCTGGCTCCAAACTCGCCTTTAAGCACTCCGCGTGAATCCGCGGCTGATTATTTTGCCGTAGCAGCACATTTTTGGGGGTTTTGAGGCTCTATACTGGCAGATTAGAACGAAACTGACATTTTCTTGGGATCTGCGAGCGTAATTCGCGCACTCACTGTTCACCGCGAGCGCACGCGGCGATGCGAGACTTTTTTTGCGCGACTGCAGCAGCTTTGGGTTTTGTCAGTAAGTCATTGGGAATGCACGCATGAGTGATGCATGAGTGATGCATGAGTGATGCATGAGTGATGCATGAGTGATGCATGAGTGATGCATGAGTGATGCATGAGTGATGCATGAGTGATGCGCGCGTGGGTGATGCGCGCGTGGGCGATGCGCGCGAGCACGTGAACGCCCCAAGTGGGGTGAGCCGCGAAGTGCACAGAGCGGAGGGCGCGTGCCGTTTGGGTCAGACCTCTGATGGGGTGGGAGATGTCGGCGGCACGTTGATTGCCACGCCTGCGGCGGCTTTGCCAGTGTTCCGTGTTTGCAAACCCACATCGAAGACAATTTGTTTTAGAAGTCCTGGTGTTGGCTTATTGTAGTTACTTCGGGGTTTGCGCTATTTATTTTTCCAGTCTTTAGTTGGCAAATTTTTAAGAAAACCGCTGCGGCGAAATGAACTTTTTAAGTTGTAAATGTGTCCACTCCACAAACAGAGCCGGGTACACGGCCGGGGCGTACAGGCCACATCGTTAGGTGCGATGCACATGCTCTCGGTGAGGTCCCACGTGGGTGGGTGGGTTTTGGGCGTGTTGGTGCACCACCCAGGCAGGCAAGGGAATTGGGCTTCGCTACTTCGTGTGCGACACGCCACCCGCTTGTCCATGCGCTGCTGCGGTGGTTCCCAGCCTGTGCTCCGTGCACCGCCAGTGCTCCTCCAGGCCATGGGACGTTAACCGCCGGATACGGTGCAGTTCGCAATGTTTTATACAAAACACCACGTTTTTACCGCATGGTGATCTGCAAATGTTTCTGGAGGGCTCAGTGTTCCATGCATCCAGAGAGGTGGGAGACCGCTGGCTCAGGAGCACGGGGCATCTGTGGACATTACTCGCATCAATGTGAGATGGGCTGAGCTGATTTGTGAAGCTGTGTTGTGGGCAGCAGAGGAGCGGTGCAGCATAACATATTGTTGTACTGTACTTCTATGCTCCCCGCCTTCGCCAACTCGTACTGACCATTGTGGTGAAGAATGATCAGCCAACTTCCACGACCAATACACCGTGGGGAGGTCCCCATCCAGCAATGGACTGGCAACAGGTTGTAAAATGATGTTTGTAATGGCGTGACTACCTCTAAACTTGCTGCCTGGTCCCACCCGGAGCCGTGGGTGGGTTACCTCGTCAGCGGGAGCGGGAGACAGACGCGGGCGCTGGTGGCAGGGCAATAACGCTGCGCTGGGACTTTCAGTGCCATCCAGACGGAAGAGCTGGTGATCGGGGATGGGCGTACGGTGTCACTGAACGTGACCGTGAGGAACGAGGGCGACGACGCGTACGACGCCACCACCACGCTCTCCTTCCCCAGCTCCCTCTTCTTCGTCAAGGTTTGGGAGCCGGTGAGTCAACCTGTCGGAAAGTCGGTTAACCCGCCAACTGTTCAGTAAGTGATACGGTTCACCAATTATTCGCCGAATGAACAATGAAACATTGATCCATTGGTCGAGTCAATCATTCATTACACCAATCGATCATTCAAACCAATCACTCAGCAATTAGGCAATAAACTATTCATCCTATCATTCAAACAGTCAATGAACCAAGCCTTCAACTAATCAATTGCTATTTCAAGCAACTGACCAACTCGTCAAGCTTTTAGTTTACACATAATTCAATCAATTAATCAATTAATAATTCAGTCGTCATCAACCACTGTGATGGAGACCGCCTGTGTCAGTCTGTGTCAGCCTGTGTCAGTCTGTGACCGCCTGTGTCAGTCTGTGTCAGCCTGTGTCAGCCTGTGTCAGCCTGTGTCAGCCTGCGGCCGCCTGTGACCGCTCCTGGTTCATGGCACCAACAGGGACTGGGCTGCAAACACTCGGGGTAAAGGACAACTAGAAACCCAGACGAGTAGTATAAACAGTCTGGGGAAGTTAGTCTTAAACATTTTAATTGTTGTTCTTAATGAAATATTTAATAATAGTTAAACTGTTGAAATATTACTTTGATGAAGCGGTGTTGCTGTTCATAAAATTCGCTACGATCTGCGCACATTGTTCAGTATCAGACCCCACCTCCAGTGGCTTGGCACACGCCACATCATCTTCACCTCATGCCGCTAGACCCTCACAGACACGAGTTCGTGCCCCTCTCTATTTCCCTGTGTTTTACTTGTTAGTTTACTTGTTAGTGTTTCACTTGATTTGGAGCTTTCGTGACTGCAAGGAATACTAGAGCGACAACACAAGGACACAGAGAGAGAGAGAAAAAACACACTTAATTACTAAATTTGTTCATTAAGGTGTGTTTTCTCTCTCTCTGCTGTGCCACCGCTCATACGTACATATGTACGTCGGGGCCTCGTGCGGCGGTGTGAGCGTGACGCGGCGGCGGGGAGCGAGTCAGCGATCGCGTGCAAATGATGCAACAAAATAACAATTTAAAGTCAAACTTAGTTAGATTTGAGAGGTCAGCGATATGTTGCTACAAATGTAAACATTTTACTGTCGGAAATGATCGCTTCTGTTGAGAGGTTCGCTGGTCATTGTTGTGCAATGGGCCCTTGCGCTCTGTCCCTCCGTCCGTCCATCTGTTCATCCATTCGTCTGTCCGTCTTATCTGTCCGTTGATAATGATGCGTCCTTCACAGGAAGTCCATCAGTGGCTGCTGCGGCGGTTGAGGTTGTGCTGCACTCACTCTCCGACTGACTGACTGGTGTGCATACACTCACATTCACATTTCCCTGTTTATCCAAACGTCTTCTCAGTTGTCCGCTAACCGCGCGTCCTTGCCGAGCACGCAAACCACATGGTCCCGCTGCTGCTCGCCGCACCCGTGAAGCCGCTGGCAGCTTTCTCGGCAACTTTGATGTGAACAGACCTAGTCGGTGAATTATCCTTCTCAAAATATCCAACGTTCGGCACTTAAAGGGGACATGGTTTCTTTGGCCAGTGTCTTGCTGCTGGTGTTTGTTTTGATACTCGAGTGGGCCAGGTTATCGTCGTCCAGTTGTGACGATAATAGCAGCAGCAGCTGCAGCAGCAAGAGAGACAAGAAGCAGGGACTCGCTGCGGGAGGAAATGCACAGAGAGGAGAGGCGGCAGCAAGTGATCGTTGTTGGGGAGTGGCTGTGTCACAGCTGTGCACAAGTGCAGCCATTTTGTCAATCCACTGCTGGATGAGGAGTGAGGGCTTCTCCACGCCGCGGTGCACACGGGGGGGGGGGGGTATTTGACCATACTTCACAGCGCTGGTCAGTGCGGGTTCGGCGAAGGCAGAAAGAGCGTTGGTGCGGGAGCATAGAAGTACAGTTCAATGATTGATTTTGCTACGCTTCTGCTGTGCTGCCCACCTAACAAAGCCTCAACGGTCGGTGTTTGGTGCCGCCATTGCCACCGCCGCTAGGTTTGATCTAGGACGCTCACGGCCGCGCGTCTTAAGGACGACTGTGGTGGTCATGCAGTGAATCCGCATCGTCTGCCTTGTGTCTCGCAGGAGGAGAAATCTGTCAACTGTGAGCTGAAGCAGGAGGAGGATCAGCCGATAAACTCTCTCAAGTGCAGCATCAGGTTCCCCTGCATGAAGGCGCGCACCAAGGTGACTGCCCACCCCTCGCACGCACGTGGGGGTCACTCCCGGGTCGGGGAGTTTTCCGAACTCCCGACGGGCACCAGACGCGCGAGCGAGTGCTGTGGGGGAATTTTATTTTATTTTACCATGTAAAGTCCACTGAGCTATGTAGCTCTTTTTCAAAAGCGGCCTGGTCACAAATGATAGCTCAACGAAGTTGCTTATCGTGTGGAAATGTATAGCAGCCAAATCAACACATGATGTTGATTCTGAATGTGGTGGGAAAAACCGGAGGACCCGGAGAAAAATGTACACGACCACGGGGAGAGAGACACGCAAACTCCAAATATACAGGTGTCAGGGTCAGGCTGAAACTCACGACCTCCAGCATACCAGGCGAGATAGTTAACATCGCGCCACCGTCACGCCCCGGCGTTTGTGTCGATCCCTTGAAGGCGTCCAGCGAGGGATCGTATGGCTGAGGACCCCGACAAGGAAATGAAATGCGATCGACTGCCTCCTCAGAGCGGGGGCTCCGCGAGATTTGCATCTAATATCTCAAAAGCCGTTAGATTTAGGTCGCGAAAATACAATTAAAAAAGTGTAAACCGAGACGGCCGTCCCGTGCGCTTGTCCCCACGCGTCGCCGCCACGGTGATCCCCGTGGGCCGGCTCCTGGTGGTGTCACCGTCCTCCCCACGGCGAGGGGGACGCTGCCGTCACGGTGTCCCGGTTGGCGTGCAGGGCTCGCAGTCCAGAGGTGGCCCCGGTTCAGTTCGATTGCCCAGCCCCGCGGTGGAAACGATGGTGCAAGTTTCTTAAGTCTCTGGGCTTTGTCCATCCAGCGGTGTGAGTGGGTACAGCCACAGTCGCGTGTGGTGGGGTGAATTATAAAGTGTGGGTCCTCCCCCCCTCTTCAAAGAAGTCTGGTTAATGTGGAAGAAGAGGCCAAAATATCCTTGAATATCCTCTCTTGGGAGATCGTTCCATCAGCATCGGCTCAAGCAAGATATTGCAGGGCTGCACCTTTACCTACCTTTAGTCAAGGCAGGAGGTCACCGGCCGTTCAATCACCTCATTACGTCATATTCCCTCCCCACTCACACTCAACACAAACACCCACTCAATCACACTCAACACACACGCACACTCAAACAAAGCTAGAAAACTCCCCCATATAGCCTTAACAGATTGTTGGGGCAAGTTCTGTTAGCAAGCACCTATAAGGGGGTGAGTGGCCAGCACCATACCCGGCCAGCCTTTGTCTCCCTAGTGGCGACGTTTATACACCACATCAGGTACTAATTTTGAGGCTGAGTCGACCTAGGGGAGGTCCAGAACCGGTTTAGATAATTGTCAATGATATTGGCCGTGAGCGAAAATTTAACTCGGGTCGCCAGGTTCGTAGCATTGTGCGCTCACCGTTGCACCACCGCTCCCCACACACTCACATGGTTCCCGAGGGGACTCGTGTTTCATGAACACGTTGTGTTCCCCACGAGCTCCCGCCTGACCCTGAGCCACTGCCACTCTCTGACTTGTTTCATGAGCACGTGTTGTGTTCCCCACGAGCTCCCGCCTGACCCTGAGCCACTGCCACTCTCTGACTTGTTTCATGAGCACGTGTTGTGTTCCCCACGAGCTCCCGCCTGACCCTGAGCCACTGCCACTCTCTGACTTGTTTCATGAGCACGTATTGTGTTCCCCACGAGCTCCAGCCTGACCCTGAGCCACTGCCACTCTCTGACTTGGTGGTGCAGCTCTGCGGGTTTGTAGTGAGTCACCCCCCCCCCCTCTTCCCCCAGCCCCTTCCCTACATGATTCAATGAATTGTCACGAGCCGAGGTTGCCATTAGATCCAATAATTGATTTCTATTTACCTCGTGTTGCGTGTGGAATCATCTATAGTGGCGGAAGAGTTGCGAATGAATCAATTGAAAAATATTGATTCCCGCAATGTGATAAATCCACCATGCACCTCAGGAGGTTAATCCGTGAATCGTTGAATTGTAACTTGCCATGAGACAGTCGAGAATTCTCAGTGTAATTTATTTTCCAATCTTTGAAAACTTTATCCTGTTATATATGGCAGCTGATGAAAACATCAGTGAATAAGTTACTGATTTTTGAGAATAGGTCTTCCCTATTTTTCTGGCAACAAACAGGTGTTAAAATTCTAGATTTGAAGTCTTCGTGACTGCAAGGATCCATACTCTTTGGTTCTTTCGGTAAAGTCACGTAGGTGAAAAAAAAAAAGAATTAAAAAAATGAAAATAAATAAATTTCGTTATTTGAATTTTGTATTATTATTTTTCACCTACGTGACTTTACCGAAAGAACCAAAGAGTAGCAGAGTACTTTTTTTGTTTGAATTCTAACCACAAGTATTGTGGTTAATGCAGACATGATCCTGACCCTGACGCCTGTATATTTGGAGTTTGCGTGTCTCGCTCCCCGTGGTCGTGTGTATTTTTCTGCGGGTCCTCCGGTTTTTCGCTCCACATTTAGAAACGCACGTTTAGAGTATTGGTTGCTTTAAGTTTCCACGTGATCAGCCACTTCGTTGTGGCCAGGTCGCTTCTGAAAAAGAGCTACGTAGCTCAGTAGGCCTTACCTAGTGAAATAAATATAGTTTAAAATAAAATAGTTTCTAGTTTATGGTGGTGTATTGACTGAGCCATCACCCTGAACGGTTATAGCGAAGACGTGGGGGGGGAGGGGGCGAGGGGGGCACGGGAGGGGGGGGGCACCCGTCGGCCTGGCGCTGCCCTAATAGACGTCCCCTGCGTGGCGCCGTGACCACTGCCGGTGAGACGGCGCCCCCCCCCCCAACTCCACGCTCATGAAGAGAACCGCAAGCGGCGATAGCGTCTCACGGCACGAGCGCTGGGAATGTGGCGCTTCACTCGGAGGCTGCCGTGTTCCAGCCCCAATGGTTTAATTTTTGACGGCGCAAATTCCCACTGAGTTGCGGTTGATGGTGATTTCTACGCTCCTTTGTGTATTCTCGAAAGCCTAAATGAGTCTCAGGACTCATTTATAAGAGAGTTCTGTCGCTTGCCTGCCTGCCTGCGATGTTTGGGTATTTCTGTGTGTGCGTGTGTTTTTGTGCTCGTGGAAGTTACCAGAGAAAACCCACGTGTATGAGGAGAGATGGCGTGATGGCATTGACAAATCAAAATTAGAGATCAGAAACCTGACTGCTCTACTACCATCTCAACGCCTCCACCTCATAGCGCAGCAAGTTTGGGTTTCCCGCATGTGATCTCCATGTGATACACCAACCCTCCCTTAATGCTGGCCGTGTTCCAAGCCACGTGTTTTCAGTAATAATAATAGTGCTGCATCACTCTTCCTGTTGAACGTCAGCCCCCTTTACCACACAAGCCTTGGAAATACCTTTCTAACATCTGCCATTAATTGTAACAATTTACCCTAAGTCAAGTTGTTAATCTTATAGAGTTTTCTATAAGGTTTCTGCTCAAGTAAATAATTTAATATTGAATAAAACCGTCAACCCTAGACCAGCGAATTATATTAAATACAGCTTGCAGCCCTCCCTGAAATGTGTAGATTATAAAACAAAAAATCCAATCCCATTGTAGCCGCTGTCCAGTTTTCATGCCCTCTGCCGTTAAAAGTAAAAATATGTGGTTCTTATACAAACAAGCCGGCCATTTGTGTATTTAAGGTGATATTTTATCTTCGGCTCAGGCAGCTCAAGCTGTTTTGAATTTAACTTTATTTTTCTTGTGTAGTCATTTATGTAATGTGCTGTTTTTCAGTTCCCTTTTCTGAAACCCTGCCTCTCTTGTGCCGGTGTGTTTTCTCAACGAGTCAGAAAAGCATTAAAAATAAACCTCGCTCTCTCACGTTTGAGAAAAATATGTAATTGCAGCTCCGCTTAGGAAAACAGTGGTGATTTAAAGCGAAGAGACGGTGTGTATATTCCAGGAAGTGGTGTATGGCTTTCGGGCTCCGCAACCCACATTTTACTATTTTAAAAACTTTCTAAATTTAGCACAAATTATAAATTACTGTTGTGTGCGTGGATGGATCATCGTCCCATAGGGGCCAGTACACATTTTTGGCCTGATTTTAATCAAAACATTTATGGAATTTAAATCACATGAAAGTGAAATTTCTCATCAGGACTTAATGGTTAAGTTCCAAGTTAACTTTTTTTTACATGATATGACAACAATAGGGCCGCATAGTTTTTATGATGTCTAGTTTAAGGCCACATTGTAGAAATGGCACGGTTCAAAACAAACGGCTATTGTAGATACACACCTTGGCAGTCGATTGCATTCTGCATGCCACAATTTTGAAATTTTGGTGTTGAGAAAAAGATTTTCCACCGTACAACCGTGGCACGGCAGTGGTGTCACTTCTGCGCCACTGTCGTACCTGTCGCGCACCACTCGGGTTGCCACCTGGTTTGGTTGTCCCAGGATCGTTCTCTTGTTGAGGGAAATCTGTCAATCTTCACGGGACTTTGATAGCCAGTTGCGTCATCATACTATTAATACGACACCACTCGAGACAATGCATTTACGAGCGCAGTTCTCCACCTGTCCAGCATTGTGACATATTCCTCTCGCCACGATGGGCCTCCTGGTTTGTGTTGTTGCTTTAGCTCGAGCGGCAGGCATGTGGCTCTGAAGAGTGGGTGGTGGGATGCGCCACGCCGAAGCGGCGTGCCCATCACACACTTCTGGAAGCCGGGAAGTGACGTGGCGTGATGAGATGATGCCGCTCCGCCGACGCACATTCTCGCAAAACGACTCGCTTTAAAAGCAAACAAACTCAAATAAGCGCCGGGATTTTTGTCTTCAATCGTTACCATCAATCGTTGGAGTTTTCTTTTTACATTTCATTGAAACAAGTGTCTGCTTTCAGCAAAAGTGTTTTTATGAAACCTGCGCGCACGTGCTCTTGAGCCAAAGGTAGCGGTGTTTTTTTATTAAAAGCGGCAAAACAATATTTTATACGTTTGTGCAATAAAGTATTCGACAGTGTGACTCCCAAGTACAGTGCTGGCACGATTACACGTTTTTAGTTTTTCATAGAAACAAAACAAAATGTGCGGGGAGAGAGAGCTGACTACAACAAAGAGAACTGACTACAACAGGCCTCGCGCCAAAGCCAACCTCACTCCCCCCTCTCCTCCCCACACAGAAGGGAGTCGAGTCTGGGTGGCAAGGTTTTCATTCTCGACTTCCAGATTCATCAAATAATTAAAAACATTCTCCGTGCGCGGGGGCACTTGGCACAGTTGCCGTGCTTTTCCTCAAGCAAATTGCGCAACACGTTACCACGGTGATTTGGGGCCATTGTACAGTGAAATTATTAAAGATATAAACACTGATGGCCGTGGATATTTTGTGGATTTAGTGGCATTTAGCAGCTGGTGAGAGAGGCTATTTTAACAGCGGAGGAAAGTGAACAAAAACCGTTGTTGTATTGTACTATGCTCCAACATCTATGTTCCCCACCATCACCAACCCGCAATGACCAGCGTGGTGAAGTGTGGTCATGTAACGGCCACGAAGCCGCATGGTGCAGGGGCCCTCATCCAGCAGCGGATGGCCAGAAGGGCCGGGACGAGTGCACGAGCGGAGGTGGAGGGGCGCAGCGCCCCGGGTCTTGTTGTCTTCACCGTGTAACGCACTTTACTCCTCTGCCCCTCTTACACGCCTCCCCACTCCCTCGCCCTGTGCTCCGCCGCCACAGCGAGAATTCAGCGTGGTGTTCGACACGACACAACTCACGGGGAGCGAGGGCCCCTTAGAGTTCACCCTGCAAGCGAGAAGGTGCGTCCCCACAGCAGTGCGGGTTTAGATGCCAGCTTGTGTGCCTGTGTGTGTCTGGGTGCTCAAAAAGAGTGGTAAACAATTGAACCGGTCCGAGACCACCCCTAGGTCGTGCTCATCCTTAAATAATAAGTACCTGATGCAATGTGTAAGCATCATCAGTGGGGAGACGAAGACGGACAGGTGTGGTGCTGGCCACCCACCTCCTCGTGTGCCGTGGCGGTCTTCATAGGTGCTCGCTAACAGCACTTGCCCCAACGGTCTGTTCTTGTCCTTGAGCAAGTGTGAGGAATGTGATGAGTTCACACATCCTTGGAAGTTCTGGACACAGTCCTCTCTCAACTGTGCCTCTGGCAGGCGACGTTGCACTGGTTGGATGATGTCACCCGCGTGGCCGGCCAATCACTCAATTGGGATTATACACATAGCAATCGTTCCCCCCTCCTAGAAGATTAGTACCACAGGTCAATTGCAAATGAGACCATGCCGGTCTCCTGAGTTGTCACCTGTTTAAACAAAATAAACTTGAAGCTCGATCTCATGCAATTATGCTGATGGCACAATTCTAATAAAATCATGAGAAATACAAAAATGACTGTAGCACTAAATCAACGATGTGTGCGGCACCAGAACGCATTTTTGTCTCTCAATGTCTTACATCTATTGTATTGTTTCTTGTTGTTTTGCTATTGTGCTTTTTCAATATCCACCTTTGGTAGCCGGATTCTCCCTTGAAACGAGAGACTCGGGCTCTCACGTGGTTTAGATAAAGACTTTTTCCATTTGTCTGTGTTCTCACCAGTGCACCAAGCCCCCCCCCCCCCGCCTCACGTTATTACCGCTGCTCGACAACCACTTGCCCCCCCTCGACCCCATCAACGTTTCTGTTTCTGCCGCCGGCCGTTCGGTGACGATTCTACCGCGAACAGCGACTTGTGCCGCTACTGAGACGCGGTGTTTGCGCGGCGCGCGTGTGTGGACGCAGCGCCAGCCCCGAGCACGCCTCCATGCTGGGGGACAACGACCTGGTGCTGCGCGTGCCGCTGCGGCTCCAGGTGGACACGACCATGAAGGGGTAGGGAGCGTCGCGCTTCCCCCACGGTGCCCACGTCTGAGGGCCGCGTGTTGGGGATGCCGTGTTAGGCCTGGGGATGCCGTGCAGGCCTTGAGAAGGGGATGCCGTGCAGGCCTTGAGAAGGGGATGCCCTCTCTTGGGAGTGTGGTACACGGTGTGTGCGTGAGCACGGCGGGAGAGCGTGAATGCACGTGGTGCGAGTGCACGTGGCGAGTGAGCACGGCGAGTGCGTCTGGTGAGTGTGCGAGTGCGGTGAGCGAGGCGGCGAGTGCGGTGAGCGAGGCGGCGAGTGCGGTGAGCGAGGCGGCAAGTGCGGTGAGCGAGGCGGCGAATGCGGTGAGCGAGGCGGTGAGCTCTGCCTCTCCGCTCTACCAGGACGGTGAATCCACCCTCATTCGTGTACGGAGGAGAGGCCACCAACAGCAGCCAGTTCGTACGACTCGACAACGCCGACTGCCTCTACCAGTGGATCAACTTCTCCCTCCAGGTTCTGCCCCATACCCCCCCCCTCCCCTGCATATTGTTTTCGTTTGATGAATGGTGGAGGTGCCCGGGTGGCCACGGGGTGGTTTAGTCTGCGACACTCATTGCTGGGCACAGGGCGGGTTGTGCCCCTCACGTGGACATAGACGCCGACTGTTGAAGGGACCTCAGTGAGACGTCTTCTGAGACTGCTATCCCTCAACAAGGTGGTGTATCACTTCCTGATAGAGTTCAGGGCAGGAATGACTTTGTTCCACGATATGACGCCGCTGGCATTATGGAGATAGGGGAAATAAGAACACAATAGAGCTAAGACATTAACACGAAGCCCACGCCTGCATCGTTCATAAACATTTAATATATTTTCACACTGCTCAACTTCAGTTCGTGCAAAGACTGGCAATGTTGTGTATTACACAAACATTAATATTCGCCAGATTTCAAATATTTAGATAACCGGTTTGAAATGGCCTCCTGCGCTTTGGTTTGTGGCTCAGTTCGGCTTGCACAAACGCCACCACGCCACCACGCCACCACCACCACGCCACCACCACCACGCCACCACCACCACGCCACCACCACCACGCCACCACCACCACGCCACCACCACGCCACCACCACCACGCCACCACGCCACCACCACTACGCCACCACCACCACGCCACCACCACCACGCCACCACGCCACCACCACGCCACCACCACCACGCCACCACGCCACCACCACCACGCCACCACCACGCCACCACCACCACGCCACCACGCCACCACCACGCCACCACCACCACGCCACCACGCCACCAGGCGCTCACCAAAATCAACGCGGGTCGCTCGCACGCTCTGGGCCCCTCGGAGCCGAGGGCCGGGCCCTGGCAGCCGGGAAGTGGCCGCAGCGGCCCAGACGCGGGGGCCGGCACCGCCGCTGTCTTTGGCGTGGGCTGCTCGCTGTGGACATGCGCCAGCTCGCAGGAACGCGACACATCTCCCACCGGTGTTTCCTGCGGGAGGTGGTCGCTAAGTGTTTCACCGAGTCTCCACCTGTCTAGCGCGGAACGATGTCCGTGCTGTCGCTGCTGCTGCCGCTGTCGTTCGCCCACCACCGCTTGTCTGATAGTCTTTGTTCTGGTGCATGCACGTGCGGAGTGGAGAGCCAGCGCCGAGTGGTCACCGTACTGTGCTATGAACCTGGTGAACCGAATTCGATTCCCGGCCACAGAGACGAATATCTGAACCAGTTCTGATCCTGTACGTATGTTGAACTTCTTTCGCACGGCACGTAGCCAACCTTGCTCATTTGACGTGAGGTATTAGAATCCAATTACTTTGTCCCATGCTATGACACCACTGGCATTATAGAGGTACGTGAGGGGCAATAAGAACACAATACAGCGAAGAAAGTAACAAGAGCCCACACCAAAAGGTCGACTCAACCTTAAATGAGTACCTGGCATTCAGCATTGTAGAGACAAAGGTGGTCAGGCCGGCCAAAGCACACCCTCAAACCACCGTGACGGCCTTCACAGCTGCTCTTTACCAGTACTTGTCCCAATAGCTTATGTAGGCTATACGGGGGAGCTTTGTCTCGTGGCGCAGGGTGTGTGTCAGTCTGGTGGGAGGCTGTGGGGGAGGGGGTCGTGGCACTCCGCCATGAAATCCGCTGACTCTGTTCCGCGTTTCCTGCACCAAGCCGATTCTTTTTTTTCTCTGCTCCTTTGATTTGGCGTTTTTGTTGTGCGTGTTTATTGATGTTTATAAATATCATTATGCTGAGCAGGGGATGTACTGGGATACTCTTCATGCTACATTTAACAGACTAATACTGCACTCTTTCTGCCATGTACGTCTTTAAATACTCACTGTGTGGTATTAAGAATAATCTGATGAATGGTTGAAGGCCCGGCTTAATGATGATAAAAACATAAAATAATACTTCATACAATTAAGTATCCCATTACAGATCCCAGTGAAAAGTGTTTAGTCTCGGTGAGACTTCACTGCGTCGCTGTTCTTGTTGTTGTAAGTCACGGGTAACTGCGGTGTATGCTACAAACTCAGATGCCTGAGTTTGATTCCCAACCACGGCTAAAATCAGCCGTGAATGGAATCCGAGCCAGTTAAGGTTTTCACCTGCTTCATTCGGGCTAAATGGAGATCTTTGTATTTGTGTTCCTATGTACGTACGTGTATGTCTGGGTGGGTTTGTGTTTCTTTGTGCGTGCGTTTGTATACAGCGACGTGCCTGTATGTAAGTGGTTACGTGTGTATCTGATCGTCGATTCTCCGGCACACGCAGGTGATCAACTTCGGGCCGAGCCCCCTGCCCAGCTCCAGCGTCGAGATCCTCATCCCCAACGTCCTGACGGAGGATGGGCCGGAGCTCTTCCACGTGCGGCACATCAAGGTGCTCGCCTCAACACTCATCAACCCGTCGCACGCGCGCCTACGCACACGCGCCCGTGTGCGTACGCACACGCGCCCGTGTGCGTACGCGCGCGTGCACAACAACAGCCATCGCTCGCCAAGAAACGGCGGCGTCGCCACGGCGCTCGTGCCTGGCGAAGTGCACTTCGAGGCCACGTACGCACACACACACACGCAGCGGTGTCCCTGCACACGCGACTTCCGGCTCCCAGCTGCCCACGCACGCTCTGCGACGCGTCTTCGGGTCATACCACGTGTTTAATAGTTTCATCCTTTTTAGTTTTAGTGTCGTTTGGCACGATGTCTGACGTTTCGCACCACATGCTGAGAGCTTCCTCGAACAACCGGTTCCCGAAGAGGTTCCTAGCGCAGCGTAGCCGATTCCCTGCGACACCCTACGCAGCAGCACCGCGTGCGCTCGCTCGCTCCCTCTCGCCACACGAGGAGGCGTCGGGCCGTCACCGGCGTGGGAGCGGCGTGGGAGCGGCGTGCCAGCGCGCCGTTTGGATTCGCGGCGATCTTCCGGCGCGAGAGAGACCGGCGAGCGATGCCGCGCGTCGCGTTTTGGCTCCGTGGGCTAAGGAGGCGGGGCGGCGGCGTGGATGATGAAGGAGGCAGGTCGCTGGCGGAGTGATGGCCCCCTGCGTCAGTGCTGCTCCAGGTGCTCCGAGGGGCCGTGGCGAGGCTGCGTTTTTAGACTTCGGAGCGCGCGGCATGCGCACAGTTGCGGTGTCAGGTGACAGATCAGAATACAAACTCAGAAAAAACAAGTTCAGTGCTGCGGTACATGCAGTCTGTATTCGTTAAACACAATGAGCAGATGTGCATTTTAAACGCAGAAGGCCGATTTTTACAACTCATCTGGATAGCCTCTGTGAGAAAGCTTTGCCAAAAGCATGTATCCCACAGGGCCCTGTAACAATTCTAAACAAATACGAGAAAAAAACTGAGTAACCCTTGCACTCAGATGAGAAATGTGAAGAGCTCCACTCCGTTGGTGATCTTGATGGTTGTAATTCCACACTGCTATCGTAGTTACCAGCAGTGTCACTATATAGCGAAACCAGCGCTACGGCTACTTGGCACAGAGGGTCCACGCTAGCTTCGTCGGCCTTCACAACCGGCGAGTGTCGCTTATTTCACGGCCGTGAGGCTGTGTCGCATCTGAGGATCGCATCGTCCCTCACGCCAACGCCGCTGTCCCCGTGCCGCCCCTGCCGGCAGATCGACAGCGCCAACGGGAAGTGCTTCAGCAAGGTGCCCTCGCAAATTTGCCTCGTGCCGCACGACTCGGGCAGCTTCTTGCGCACGCTGTTCACCATCTTCAACAAGTCCGGCCGCAAAGTGCTCGTAAGTCCCCTTATACCTTCCTGGTGGCCCGTGGAGACTCGTGTGTATGCTGTATGTATGTTGTATGCATGTTGTATGTTGAATTTCTTTCGCACCTAGGCGGCCCGACTGGGATGCTGGGTTCAGATCCAACCACCTCAGTCGATGGTGTCAGCCTAGTAAACAATTTTTGTTGCACAAATCATCCATCTGAGGACTTTTAAAATAACTATTTAATTGTGACAGTCATGAGAAGAACAGCTCCAGAGCTGCGTGGAGTGTCGCCCCGACTGCGAATGAGTGGAAGTCGAGGATCTCGCATGTAGTTCTGTGATATACCACTTTGCCCCCCGACCCCCACCCTGCCATGTCCGGGTTTCTCTGCCATTTGTTAATAAATTATTAAATGACGACAGTGGACCGCTCCCAACCGTGTCCCAACAACACTCGGATATTTTCTCCAGAAATGGAAGATAAAGGACTCGAATGTGGTTATTAGCACGATTGCCTATGTACGAGATACATCACTGATGACTGCCCACCACAGCACGCATCCTCTGGTGAAACAAGTGGACTCCACCACTCAGCTACCGCCCCGGATGCTGCTGTAGCTTGCCTTAAAAATACAATTGAAGCCCTGTTGCTTTTCTCAAACGCCATGCGGCAGGAGAGTAAAAATGAAATAATGGTCACGAGGCTCATCGTCTTCATGAGCCGATACAGCATCGCCGGTCCGCCGCATCTCAGCGGGGTCATTCCCTCCCCGTGCACCGCAGGACTGCGCATGGCGGGGCGGCTGCCTGGTCGTCGGCTGTCAGCTGGGGAACATCGACAGTGGGAACTCGATCTCCATCAACGTCAGCACCCTGCTCAACACCAAAATCCTGGAGAAGGTAAGGAACGACCCAGCGTAGCGTTTGGCTGCACCATCGCCACCCCGGCGTGGGTAAAAAAAGTTGGTCGGTCGGACTGACTGCGTCTCACCGTGGCATTCGCGTGCAATTGCTCCCTGACCAAGAAACGCAAATTGCATCTCTCTGAGTTGCAGTCCTAATTGCTCGGCATGCGAAGGCGCAGCCCTGCAATGTCTTTGCTTCTGGCACTGCTCCAGAGAGCTCCTCTAGTGGAGGCCCTCACATCTCGAGTGAGCTCCTCTCAAGGATATTTGGCCTCCACTTGCACACTGGCCAGACACCTCGGAAGGTACGGACAAACCAAGCCCAAATAAAACCACTTCACGATCACCACCACTAATGATTACCCACATGTTCAAAGTGTCTGCAATCTGCGCTCCGGAACGTGGAGCTGCAGGGCATGTGAATTGTTCAACGTGGCGGGCGCGTGAGTGAATACAAAACACAATGTGGAGCGGGGGAGTCACCCCTGTGCCGGGGCTATGCCACTGCAGGACAGCTCGTCGGTGATCCAGTTCCTGGTGGACGCGAAAGTGCACGTGAACCACAGCCTGCACATCTACGAGGCACCGGGGGGCAACCCGGACGGCACCACGGTGAGCGGCGGCACGTGCATGTACGTGTGTATGTGCCTGGAACTTCTTTGACACCGTACGTAGCCAACCGCGCTAATCGGAGGTGCGGCGGAAGGACAACAAACTAAACGCCAGAAGCTGTTCTCATGAAATTAGTTTTTAATCTCGATGATATAAAAGTGAATAGCTCCAGTGGCTTCCTAATACCAGCAGGAAGAGTGTTCCAGGCGGCCGCAGAAGTACATCTGAAAGTGCGCAATGCGGTGATCGTCTTTGTTCGATGGTTAGCCAAAAGCCGCTGCTTTGTCCAGGACAGTCTTGTTTACTCAAGAAAGCCCTCCCTGAGTCTCATGACCCTTTGTCAGGAGGGGCCTGCCAAGTTTTCACAACAGGGAGCAATGCTGCTATGGCGAGGCGGTAACACTCGTGACTCACAGCAATAAGTTCGTCTCGGGCCGTTTTTTGTGTGGACTTTGTATGCTCTTCATCTGTCCTGAATGGGTCACCTCTGGGTTCTCTGGTTTCCTTCCAAAGCTAAAAACAAAGCAATGTAAATGGTATTGGCCAAAACATCCCAATGCTGATAAATAACCTGCAAATTCAGTTGAACACAGAGGCTTTCGCGACCAATATCATCCATAATACCTGCAAATTACTCACAGCAACAACACGGTCGCCCTCTTCTGCGAAAACTTGACCGGGCCCTCTTGAACAAGAGTATTGGGTTAAATATAGTTTTAAGTAGTAGTACTAATATAGCAATGTGTGTGTACGCTTCAGGTGGTGTTTGAGGCCCTGCACGACCTGCGTCCGCGTGGCTACGTGGCCGTGTGGATCATTGCGCTGAGCCTGCTCATCGGCATCCTCATCTTCATCCTGCTTGCCGTCGTGCTCTGGAAGGTGTGCCTCGATCGGGCTCTCGTCCGCTCGATGTTGCGTGTCCCGGGCTGTCCCGCACGAGGTCAACACCTCCTTAATGAGGAGGAAAATAATACTTTAGTATCAGTTAGGTGCTGACTTGAAGCTTTCGTGATTGCAGGAATTCATATTCTTTGGGTCTTTCGTTAAAGTCACGTAGATAGGTTCAAAGAAAATAACAAAAAACTACGACGTTTCGATCGCAACACAAGCGGTCGGCATTAGGAAAAGAAACAAAAACGTCGTAGTTTTTTTTGTTATTTTCTTTGAACCTCTCTACGTCACTTTACCGAAAGACCCAAAGAATATCAGTCAGGTGCTCGGTCATGGCGCTGCAGCGATGCGATTGCATCGGTGTTGTATATGGGGGTGACGTCAGTGGCATCATCACTCCAGTGCCATCGTGGCAGTGGTTAATGACAAATGGGGTGAGTTTTTGTTTATGCACAACTGCTAAGGGCAGACCCTTCATTGTTATGAGGATTATATATTTTTTTGCATCTAACTTTAAACGTTGAGCTCCTAAACGCTCTAAAGATGGCAACAGTGGCATTAATGTGCGCACAGCAGATCCAATACCGGGTCTGTTCAGAAAAGTTTCTCATGGGCGATGCAAGAAACTGAAAGAAATCCGAGAGAACTATGAAAGGAATCCCAGGGTATTCACGCATGATCCCGACCGCTGAAGCGCGACACGAGTCAACCTGGGAAATGCCGCAGCAGCGCCTCGCCTTGTAAGAGTATCCTCGACAGCGGCGGCCGTGCTCTTGATTTCCCACGGATGACGAATCCATTTGTCGTGCCGCGGGTCGTGGGCCTCACCCAAGCCACGTGCGGCACAGCAGCAACCGAGGCTCCCTGCGTGGAGGCCCCCCGAATGTCGGAGAGAAATCTGCAGATGCCAGCTTCTTTACATCGTCTCGTTTTCTTTCCCATGCCCGCAGCTCGGCTTCTTCAAGCGCTCGTACAAGGAGAGGATGCAGGCGAGCAAGCAGGAGAAGGAGAGCCTGGACTGAGCGGCGCCGTGGGGGAGAGGGCGTGGCAGCGCCGCCGTGGCCGTCGAAGTGTCGTCCTGCGTCGCCCGCGCAAACAACCGCTGCGGGCAACTCGCCCGCCCGCTCGTTTGGCCACCAGCACAAATCATAACCGACTGCGAGAGTGAGCGTGGGCCCAGAGGAGGACGGGCGATCGCAGTCCCTCGCGAGAGAACAAGTCCACGGCGCATTCCGAGTGCGTCGCACAGGTGCCGACATTCCGCAGACTTCTGTCTTTGCGAAACCCCTGGCGAGTCAATCAATCCTCCGCCCTGCTCAAGCTGCAAAAGCCGTCGTGGCCCCTTGCCGTCGGGTCATCCTCCTGCCAAATAAGATGCGGCGTGCGATGACGCTGCATCTCTGCTTGTGATGACCGGAGCGCTCGTCAACTTGGAGATCCTCCTCCGCGGCGAGGGGAGTGCGTGCGGCTGCATTTTGTGAATTCCCGGCGGGGCGAGTGGATCCCACAGGAGAGCCTCCTCTGAGAGTTCATCTCGGCTGAACGACCTCGTAAACTTCTGGCATCCTAGACGATGATGAGCGTTCGGGTTTTAAAGACACAGTGTATATTTTATCAAGAGGACATTTGGAAAAGTGCTGCCTTTTTGCGTGAAATGAATTCCCTCTGTTAGTAAGTTAGAGGGAGGCGTTGAACGATGAAATAAGATGGTGACGCCACACGTGGACCTGATGTGCTCACCCTCGAGAGCTGAGCGCTAATCTCCCCTTTTCTCACGGAAATCAGAAGAATATGTTTTCCGTGCCAGATGCGACTCTTGGCGGAGCACAATGCCTTTCCGGACACCGAGCAGAGACCATCGCGTGTGTATTCAAAACCCGCGTGTGACGAGGTATTTTGAAGCTCTGCATTTTCATTTTTGGTGCTGCCTATCAAACCGAGCCTTTGTCCAGTTAGCAATGAAACTAAGCATGTTTTATTTACACGGTGAATAAAACTACGCGGGCAATAAAAGCAACGAGCCCAGCCGATATGATCCACGAGCACATTCGCTCCGCACGTGGAACAATTTATCAGCGAGGCCTTTTCCATCCTCCACCCATGGCATTTCCGTATGCCGCGAGTCCCCTCCTCCGACGGACGTTGGGGGTGCACGGAGGGCTTCGTGAGGTAGTCTGCCGCTGCCGCACTGGGAGAGCCGCCGTGCCTCGGCATTCCACGTGGTGCCACCAACGCGTCGCACGACGCCATGCACCACGGAGCCGTGCCGGCTAATCTGGCCGAAGCTGGCACCTCACCAGCTTTGCCTCCAGTTGCCGTCGTCATCCACTGCCGTCGTTGCGATAGCGAGCATTTCCCTTCTCGAGGTCTTGAGACCTGAACACGGCGCGGTAAATGAACATCCACGTGAATTTTTTTTTTTTTATATAAAGAACTCAATCAAAGAATGCCAAATAGTGTAACTGCTGTACGGTGCGACGATTTTGCATCAACATTCTCTGTTGTCTTTTGTTCGCGTTACAAGTTGACCACTGTGTGGTGGGGGTGCGGGTTCTATGACAAGTCGCAACTCGAGCGAGGACGACCGCTCGGAAGGTCCCGCTGGGGGGGGGGGGGGGGGCTACGATGAATTTAAACGTTCAGCAGAAACGCAGAGTAACGGAAGTTCTTGCGATTCCCACTGGAATTTAGAATTCTTTCTGGGGTCCCCGAGCACATGTTGTGGACTCATTGTAAAATATTTGTGAGGGGCTGTTGGTGTGAGGAGGAGGAGGGGGGGTGCGCCGACATTGATCTGCCCCAGCTGACTGCCCGCCCGTCAAGGGGAGAGTCGCCCTTGGCGGAGTTGTTGCGGAGAGGCCCGGGGCGAGACACCCAAATCGCCCTTCACCAAATCATTTCTTCCAACGTGATTGCAGCACATTACCTGTTTTCTCCACAACAATGGCAAATCACTTTAAACAATTATACGGTCTTTAAAAAAATAGTACAAATATGTAAAAACCCGTTTATTGAAGACATTTAGGCGGTGTTTGTATAGTGTGTCACACGAGTGTAGTTTTATATTCACACACGCAACTGCACCATAGCGCTCACCGCATTGCCGGACTCACTGTGGCCAAGTGATGAAATGCGTTTTATTTTTGGCTCAAGTGGAAGAAATCTTCCTGCGTTTGAGATTCCGAACGTCTCGTTGAATGTAGCCAAACACAGAATGATCGTCTCACAGCAGCGTTTGAATAAATTAAAACCTCCAGACGACTTCATTTGTCGTTGCGTCTGCGCGCCTGCACCGTTTTTTGCTGCACAACTTCCCGATGAATCCTCCAGGATATGATTCTCGTTGGAAATCTACACAGACACTCAGTATTGTACAACCGTTTCATTAAAAATACCTCTTTTTCTCGTGTTTGTTTTTCAAGTAATATGTTCTTAAACCAGGTGAAAACTCACGAGACCAAGATGAGTCTCGTTTGTAAAATATAATAAGAAAAGTCGAAATGAAAGCTGCGACCTCTTAGTCAGTGATGTGGAGTGGCGGTCTCGAGAACCCCGGATCAAGGCACGCGATTCGTCGCGTGCCTTGATCCGGCCCACCGGCGGTAGGGGCACGCGCTCGGTGGGGGCACGCGCGCTCGGTGGGGGCACGCGCGCTCGGTGGGGGCACGCGCGCTCGGTGGGGGCACGCGCGCTCGGTGGGGGCACGCGCGCTCGGTGGGGGCACGCGCGCTCGGTGGGGGCACGCGCGCTCGGTGGGGGCACGCGCGCTCGGTAGGGGCACGGAGTCCTGCTGAGCGGTCTCCGTTGCGTGCATCGACGCCACGGCAGCAGCTGTTGCCGCCGCACTCCAGAGCGCCAATTAGTGGCGCAGCCGCTCGCCAAAGAGTTTCCTCGCGAGCGGTACCGAAATAGAGCTGTGGCGGAAACCACGACAGCGATCATTCTGACAACGCGACATGGGATCCGGTCATCCTTAAAAGAGCCCCAGAGAATCCCCACGAGTTGGGAATTCCTTTATGAACCCGTGTAGGGCATTTCGCAGATATGCTGCAGGATGTTTCTTCTGTAAAGAACGATAATGGCAGTGGCGCTAATTTCGCACGTGATCGCCAACTTGTGGCTCTGAGTCCTGAAACGTGTGGCCGAATGGACGACGAATGCAGCTGGCTTCAACCGATTGCTATTCCAGCGATTGCTATCGCTCACTCGAATGCAGCTGCATCCTATAAGCCAGATCCACCACACCCACAAGCCAAGCTCGTGCAGCCAGTCGAGGCAGCTTCACAAACCTCGCCAGCCTTACCAACCTCCCCAGCCCAGCCGACTCCACCAACCCCTTCAGTCTCATCAGCCTCACCAATATTACCAACTCCGCCACCCCCACCAGCCCCACCAGGCCAGCCATGCCACGCATCCCGTGGAGATGCCTCAGAGAGCCCCTCAGGTGTTTCCTGGGAGGTTTTGCTCGACCGCTTCCTGCCGCCGCCGCCGCTGCCAATGCCGCTGCTGCCCGTGCGCCTCTTGACCCCCGCTTCCCGCCCGGCGCCCACGCGGGAGACGGGGAGAGACGTCCGCGCCGCGCCGCTCATCTCCCACACGCGCCGCCTTTCCTGCGGGCCTCCATCGCGGCGAGGAGGAGGAGGAGGAGTGGGGCAGCCGCTGCCCACGCTCGGTGTCTTCGTCAACACGGGGTGCAGCATTTGCCTCGTCATCTTTTCGATGGGACGTTCATTGGACCAGGTCTGTTTTACGTGGAGTAGCCCTCAACGTAAGTCTCAGCTGGAAGGCTTAAGCAGACCATACGCAATATTGTTACAGGAAACGGTAAATTAATTTTGAAACTAAACTTATTTTTGCCAGGGAATGCCGACTGAGCTGTGTAGTTCTTTTTCAAAAGTGACCTGGCGACAAATGAGAGTTCAACGAAGTGACTTATCATGTGTAAATGTGTAGCAGCAGCCAAACACTCTCAACGCGTGTGTACAGATGTGGAGGGAAGCCCCGGAGAAAAATCCACACGACCACGGGGATAACATGCAAACTCAAAATAAACAGACGTCAGGTTTGCGATCGAACCTGCGACCTCCTGTATACCAGGCGAGGGAGTTAACATCTCGCCACCGCGGCGCCAGAATACTGGAAGAGGAACTTGTAGCACGCCACAGCATTCGCTCACTCGCGTAGAGAGGACGCGAGTCGGAACCACAGATGAGCATGAAGGCAGCCAGGCGGTGAGAAGGTGCCAACGATTACCCAAATTCTGCGGTTCGCTATGTATTAAGGTAGTATTGGCCAAATAATTAGTGTTTGCAGTGGAGCGAAACGTCAGACAACATGCCGAACAACAGGTGGTAACACCCAAACACATCGGAGAGCTGCACAGGACAACCGTGAAAAGCAATGCAGTGGTAGACGTCAAAGAGTTAAATAAGTTGAAAGATAATTTGATCTTGGTAAATAAGGGGGAGTGTATCTGATTATATAGAAGGTCATTTCTGGAAGCAGAACATTTGATATAATGATAGGCGCAAAACAATGCCAAAAAGTTCTGACTTCAAAAATATACTACTTAATGCCACAATTGGCCATACTTCAACTTGAAACATAACTTCACTGTACACGAATATCCATGAGATGTTTTCCTCACCTGCATTACTGTTCACATATTTCCTTTAGAAACCTCCACAAGCCATAGTTTGTTAACTCGATTTATTTTCCAGCACCGCGAGATCCCTGGCACCAGATGCCGGCTGAGTGAGACCGAGCTCACAACGCGTCGTTTAATCTGCCTCCGCCTGTTGAGCCTTGGCTTTGAGTGGTGCAGGACAGCGGCAAGAGCGTGGCTTCAAATGCAGCCCACCGATTGATAGGATCTCCGTGTAGCCAGCACTGCTTGGCAAGCTCTGTTGAACATTTCAGAAATCCAATAAGTCTAATGTGGATACTTGGCTGAGTGGCTCTAACAATATGACATCTATACTCGCATTGGCAATGATAATGATGTTCATCCATAACTATTTTTGGGTTGGATCACGTAAGTAGTGTTATGCCAAAATTATTGTCATGAGCCCGAATGGTAATAATTGTATTTGTGTTTCAAATGTGCAAGGGCAGAATTTGCGAGTGCCTCTGGTTTTGTTTGAACATCATGGTGCATTTGCTCAAAACTTTAGTCTACTCTTGCCTAATACGCAAATCCTACACCAGCTTCTTCCCCACTACGGCTCTAAGAACCTCAGTTCCATACCAACACGGGTGGCGATAATGATGGTAATAATGGCATTTAGTCCATAGAGTAGAGCAAATTTTTACGTCTTTATTTATACAATTTGATAACCCCACTCAATTCAAATGGTTACCACATAATTCAATGTAATTGCTACATCAAGATATTGGAACTGCTGAAGCTATGCAGACGCATCTGACACCGGCAAGTGAAACCTCTGCTCTGGACTCATGGACTTATTCATGGTTCATGTGTGCAGACATTTCGAGTGATCTAAGCTTGTATAAACAACATCGCACGTTATAGCCCAAAGAAGTTCAGCCTCGACTGTTGCGTAACGATCGAATGTTCCAGTCCACTTTGTTTCCCACTGGGGCACGCCCTATGTACCGTACATGTTTATGAAGTTTAATACAAAAAACTGCAGCTTTGCCATGAAGGGAAACTAAAGCGACGCCAAAAAGAAACAAAAAACGATAAACGCGCGCTATAATAATAATATTCTGGTTGTGAGAATTCGTGGGCAAATGAAACTGCTCCCCATCTTTAATAACGCGGCCTTATACAATGTACAAATGTGGCTTAACGTAAAAATGTAGGCATAGGCAGTGGTTGTTGTGTACGCTCCGTCGTCTCGAGGAAATCGTACGAAGATTTTATTCCTCCTGAAAGAGCTTTAAAAAAAATCTCGACGGCCAACGTAAACGGCCTCTTGTTTTTCTCTCGCCGTAAAAAATGTCTAGAGTGCAGCGATGTTTATCGGCATTCTCGTTTTCCTGCGTACGCACGCACGGCTTATCAAAATCATGTTCTTGGCCTGCGCGTACTTACGGTTGTTATCGTGAGATATTTGTAATAAATTCGCAAAAATTTGCGGACAGAGACGGCTTGTTTTAAAAGTGTTGTTGTTTCACTGGTGAGCGAAGCTGCTCTGAAGAATTCAAGCAACATCCGTGCGGGGAAGGGCTCTGCACGCCCGAGCGAGTCATAGGCCAGATCGCAGCTTGTTGAAATTAATGGGGGGGAAACTGACTCAAGACTTGTCCCTCATGGATGACGTTCCCACAGTGTAATTCACACATTTTAAAACAACTACTGAGACTCGGCTTGAATTTAACAGCCATTGAACTCGCAGTGTTTCATTCAAAGGCCCGGTGGGATTGGTTTGTTTGGTTCCCGTGGAGGTGCGGGCCGGGCCCGCGCGCCGCGTCCACCACGCTCGACAATGGAACTTAAAGTAACAATAACGGATGCAAGTGTGGGTTACGTGGATATGTACATGTATATACAGTATAAATACATATTCTGACATGTACATTTAATTTAAGCTGTCAGAACCCGATGAGCCGTTAAGCTCTGTGTCACGGCTGTCCAGGCCAAGCTGATCCACTCTTGTGTGTTGCGTTCTCCGAGTTCTCTGCATTCACAATATTGTTGGGTATTCCCATTGGTGACGTCTCCTCTTCCTCACCGCGCCGGTGATGGTCGGTCCCTGTTTCCTGTCTCTCCGCTATCAGTCCACGACGGGGCTGGTGGGTCTCACAAACGTCGCGAGGAGACTCCCTCCCTGCAGGCATCGAGGGGTTGCCATTCTCTGGCTCGCCAGAAGACGACGGTTCGGTAGAAATGGAGACTGCCGGGTTCGTGTGTACGGGATTCGAGAGTTTCCCCTTCGCGCGAGTGGGTTTCTCCGGGTGCTCCGGTTTCCCTCCCCCTGTACGCACTCATTCATTGGCCACGGACAGCTTCATATGCCGAGGACGATGGGGCTTGGGCGATTGTTGGCACGGCGCGCCGCGTGGCTGCCTTGCTGCCTGCCTGCGGTTGCTGGCGCCTCCGAGTCGTTCTCTCTGTTTTCGAGTGCATCGTGTGCGCGTTGTAAGCTGACGTTATGATTACAACATCTCAGGTGATACCAGTAAATAGAGTATTTGGTGTGGCCCCACAGACTGTGGAGAGCATCAACAGGATGGAGAGGCTGCCTCAATGCTGCGGCGTAAGTACAGCTGGTTCACGCTGCTGCGGCTGCTGTGAAACCCATCCCGGCAATCCGTCTGCGCTGGCCCCAGTGATGGATGCGATGCCGGCATGGGGTGATTTACACTTGGACATTTTTATGGGGTTTCGCTGCCAAACGCAGGCACATCCACACCTGTGCGCCAGGCCGCATCTATTGATGGAC